AATCATATAAATGGTTCTATTTAGAACCAGAAATGGTTCCATCCCCTACTTCATATATGGAACTCCAAAATGGTTCTATATAGAACCTTTTTTTTTTGGTACAAGGTTCTATTGGCCAAGTAGGAACCCCAGGGTTCTATATAGAACCCAGAGGAACCCTTTTTTAAGTGTGTATAGAAACTTTTAGGGGTTCCAAATACGTAGCGCTGATAGAACCTTAAAAGGTTCTATCAGCGCTACGTATTTGGAACCCCTAAAAAATATAGAACATTTTATTCTAAGAGGGTAGTTTAAACTGGCAAATCAGTTTAGCTTCCTGTTTAGCTGACCAGTGTCCAATACGGGCCATATTTAAAAGGTCATGTGAACAAACTCACAAAAAACAGGATTTGAGGAGAAAATCTAAATTTTGTACTTTGACTTGTGCAGTGAATGTAGCTTTTGTGCGTGTTTGAGGGAACAGCGCTGCTCGTCTGCTGGTGTCGTATGTGCTTAATCACTGTCTCATAGAGAAAAGACCCACTCAGCACACTCCAATCAAACAAAATCATGATCCCACACAGGACAGGACAGGGAAAGGTTTATCTGACTCTGCAGCTGGACACCAGCTGGGCCCCCCACCATATACGTGGACCACCACGAAAAAAACAAAAAAAACAAGGGTGGGGCTAAATTACACTCCTTACACAGATACGTTTACTAACCGTGGACCCTCCCCCACGTAGCCAACCCCTCAAAAAAACGGCTGCCACACACACGCACACAAAGGCTGACCTGAAGTTAGTAGACACGATAGTGCAAAGAACACAAAACAGCAGCTGTGACACCTTTGACATTGAGACATTACCAAGTGCATGTCTCTGACCTGTAATTTCATCAGCTAAAGCGTAATGTGACTTCTCCCATTAACTAAAAAAAGCCAGATTAAATATTCATGATTTCTGTGAAAGTCACTCAAGGCTCATTCAAGAGCTCACAAAGTCAATGGCCTCGTCCAAAATGAAACACTCACTCGAGTAATACTCAAAAAGTACTTCACGACCTCTAAAAAGTACGTTTAATGGAATTACTGAATTACTAATTGAATTCTGACACATTTCGTAACTCAATGACGCATTTTACTAGCATAGCTAGAATCGTTTGAGTCCAGTCTTGTGTTTGAATATGCATACTTCCCCACTATACAGTAGGCAAAAATAGTAGAAGAATTTGTAGTATTCATGAAAAAGTACTTAATACTGATTGGTAGTGAAGCGACCCAATGACACTGCAGCCAGGTCACATGGCGATTTCAGATACAGCTCATGTACTTGTGTATGCTTTCGGCCTAATGCCATCCCAAAACCTGCAGATGGGGGTCTAAAATGCATGTGGAAACTCCCTCGGGATCAACCCTGCAGGTTGAAATGACATGTCCGTGTATTCTCTGAGGACAGATGTAAGTGGGTTTGAGTCAAAATCTCTCCAGCATCAATTATCTTTAAACAGACAGGATGACGCTTGACACCATTAGGCCCAATTGCTCCTTCTCCTGCTAATATATGAGGATGCGTTCAATACATCAGGCTCGTTTAGATGCCTTGCTTGAAAGTGAGGGGAGGAACGAAATAAGTGCAGTCAAGCTGAACAGTTGTGAAGAAATGAAAGAGTGAGATGATGGACTAAGGACGTAGATGGAAACAGGATGTTTTATTGGGAACACGGCAGCCCAAACACCAAAGTACACTTTTAAAGGAAACTGACATATGATTTGCTTGCCTCGAGTTTGCACCCCTTCTGGGAGAATCCTGTGCACGCAGTTTTCTCTCTAAAAGAAGGACAAGTAAAGGACAGTATTCCCACAAAAGAAAACCAAATATAGGACATTAATCATAGCACGGATGATGTCAGACAATCTAAACCCAACATTCACATCCTAACAAGGCTGTGCATGAAAAAATGAGAGCAGGCCTGCAGGGCTCAACACTCACGCACATGCCTGCTTGGAGGATGTTTAAATTATAATGAACATGTAAGTATTCTAATTGCAGAACATCTGTTTATCTGTCGTGTTTTGGAGTAACATCGAGAAGAGAGTTTAATAATCAGACCTGGAAGAACACTCAGTCTATGCAGTAATCCTAAACAACCTGACTAATCTACTCTCCACCCTGTTATTGCTCAAATCCTTCATTTGATTTCAGTCCAGGATGTCTTGTCTGCAAGGAGCCACATACAAACACATTGCCTAGCCGACTCACAAAACATAAGGTCTTACCATGTACACAGAGATCATAAACAATATATATATATGCTTCATGTTGCTGTATGCAAAAAATAAAGGTGCATTCATGGTAAACAAAAGTAAAAAAGCTTTTGAGGGACAGTGCTTATTAAATATAGCGAAGTCAGATTTGGCTAAGTCGTTTAGAAGGTAATTGCCATTTTTCAATGAATGTCTGGTGAATATCAAAAACAAAACTAACTTTACCCCGCTTAGAAGCTGCGCGGCGTGTACACAACACACACAACACAATATAACTATATTGTACATGCTACAGAAAACATAACAGCAAACATTATTAATATTACTCACAGATTGTGATTCGGAGGAAGACGAACCTGATCCATATACACTGGATTGCAAATGTTTGTTGCAAATATGAACTCTGACCACTGATTCTTCACATGCTCGTCCCTGGACAATGGAAACAAGTGGCTGAACTGTCTTTGCAATGTAGAACGCAGCGTCTTCTCGACATGATGCGATTCAGCTGAAGTTTTTGAAGGTGTTCTACGTAGACGTCACTTCAAGTTTACACTTCCGTATGCGCGCAGTTGTTGGGAGCGGCCAATTTCCTCTCTCTACGTCACGATGTAACAGCTAATGACTCGTTTCAAAAACAATTCATTTCATAGACTCAGAGTCGACTCTTACTTTTGAAAGACAATAACTTTTTTTATACGGTGCACTTTCAGATATAAATCTTTGCAGGATGTTTTCATTCCCTTACAGTCATTTTCAAAAAATCCATGATAACAGACTGCTTACCGCTAACATGTGTAACATGTGCTCAGCACATGTGAATGTGTCGCCTCCTGCTGGTGGTAGTGAGATTACACTTCAAATTCAGTCTGATTGGTACTAATAAAACTGCACAAACCAAAATCCTGTTGTGTTGTAGCACTGCCTGAACCTTAAGCTAAATTCTAGATAAAAAAAAATCTCTCTCTCTTTATTTTTTTCGTTTTCTGATGATTTTTATTTGTAGCTCTGCTGTTTTTCCAAACCAAATATTAGTAATCATAGGCTGCAAATGGGCAAAAAGCACTGAATACAGTCCAGAAAAACGCAAATTTAACAAGAGTTAAAATAAGCAAGTATTATAAAACATACTGAACGCCTAGTTTCTAGGGCATAATTCATAAAAGGAAAAAGTTTTACCCTTTAGAATCGATGTAATACCTGGTAAGCAGTGTTATTGTTTTGGAAGTTGTGAGACTTTTATGAATAACTGTAGTGTTAAAATAGCTTTTGAGTACAAATACATGTCTTATAGCACCTTCGGTTAATCTGAATGTTCAGTAAAGGAATATCAGTATAATATAGAACCCTATGGCAAACACCAACACACACATCTATACATAAACTCTATAGTGGTAAGTGTGAATATCATCTCTGGCAGAACAACCCCAGGCAGCAACATTGTGTCGGCCTAGATCCGGCCCACATCTAGTAAGCTAGGAATTCACATGTGCCAGATGTGGCCCGGATCTGGGCCGACACTATGTTACGTCTGGGACTGATGAGAGGCTGCTAACTGCAGAGCCAATGGGTGGAGCTTGAAGTCAAGCTCCCCCTCTCTGGATGTACTGGTTGGAGCTCGAAGGTCCCGTCATTCATAAGTCCAGAGAGGGGGTTCTAGTTATTTGGCTCAGCAGTGCAGTGCAGTGAGCACCACTTGCCGCTGTCAGCTGCTTATATCATAATGTGTGTGTCCCCCGGGCCGAGCACACAAAATAGCAAACAGACCACACACAATGTGGCACATTGGCACAAAAAAATCAGACAGACAGACAAAATACCAAAAGACACAAGCACAAACATACACACACAACCAGGGCTTGACATTGACTTTTTTGCTCACCAGCCACGGTTTCCTAGAGTTATAGCCACTTAGCATTTTCACAGGCCACAATTGTGTTTTTGTGAAATTTTGTTTTATTTGGGGTATGCAAAACATATAGCTTATGATGCGACGAGTTTAAGAAAACTACCCCTGAGAGCAACTTGCACTGACAGATCTTAATCTTTGTCTCAAAATGCACACCAATAATGTTTTTAAGGCACTTTTTATGAAAGCTACTTAAATATCCTAATTGAAGGCCTAATCCTGGCTTAGTCTAAGCCCTGTCTGTGAAACCAGGTCAAATTTTAAGAATTTGTATATGACTGGAAAGATAGCCTTTTATACGACTAAAAGTCAAAAAATGCAAAACAATGAAAGTGGATTTTGAAATGTTTTAACGATTATTTTGGTTATGGAGTAATCAGTCAATTATTTTTGATGAGCATTGACATTTAAAGATATCAATGTCAGTTCAAGTTTATTTCAGTTAAAACAGCTCAAACATACATTTTAGTCTGGGACTAGTTTAAAATTTGTCTGTGGAACTGGGCACAAGTGTGTTTAATTTAATATTAAAATAATGTATGCTTAAATGTATCTTTTAAGGAAAATTTGATCATTTAAGCTATTTGTTGATTTAAAAGGCTTGTTTCTGCATATGTACTAATGATCATATCTAGATGGTTCATTCATCAAAGACCACCCAGACACATTCATACTTTCATCTGTCCATTTTTAACAGCATTACTACTCTCCATCCTGTTATTGCTCAAGACTTTAATTTAATATCAGTCTAGCCTGTTTTGTTTGACTGCAAAGAGCAAGGTAAGACGTCTAGTTGGATGAAAACAAATGACATAAGTTAGCACGGTTATAAAGTACACAGAGATCTTAAACAATATACATCTGCTTTATTTTGCTGTATGCAAAATTAAAGGTGCATGCATGGTAAACAAAAGTATAAATATTCATCTCAAATGAGAATAACAATATTCAAAACATACTACTGGCTAATTCACAGATGCAAGATTATGGTTAACATGTTCAGCGCATGTGAATGTGTTGTCTCCTACTAGTCAGTGATATTGAAATTACACTTCAAATTCAGTCTGATTGGAATTGTACTAACAAAGCTACACAATCTGTATGAAATTAAGCACATTTTATGTTGTAACACTGGCTGAACCTGAAACGAAGGAATCAAGGAAACCACATTTGTTTTTTGGATGTAGTCCCAAATATGAAGTAATCACAGCCTGAAAATGGGCCGAAAGCATTGAATACAGACCGTAAAAATGCAAAAGTTACATATTATGCCTTTAGATAAAATGATCAAGTGTTATAAAACATACTAAAAAACTAGTTTCTATGTGGCATATTCAAAACATGGCATGTTTTATTCATTTGAATCGGTGTAATACCTGAAGAGTAAGCAGCTTTAATGTTTTGGAAGTTGTGAGACTTTTATAATGGATAGTTGTAGTGTTAAAATAGCTTTAATTTGTGCTATTACAAATAGCTAGCACAAATACATGTCTTATAGCACCTTCGATTAATCTGAATGTTGAGTATAAAGGCATATCAGTATAATATAGAGCTAAAGGCACTGTGGCAAACACCAACACACGCATATATACATAAACTCTATAGCGTGTGAATTTCATCTTTGGCAGAACAGCTGTTTATACCATAATGTGTGTGTCCCTGAGGCCCTGCACACAGAGTAGCAAACAGACCACACACAACTTGGCACATTGGCACTGAATATCATTTAACACGTCTTTCTCTCTTTACTCAAACGGACGGAAAAAATACCTAAAAACACAAGCACAAACATACACACAAAATTATAGGATATGTGCTCCATTCCATTATCTGGACCGCCAAGTAAAAGTTCATGTTGCATTAAAAAAAAAAAAAAAAAATATGAATGCAGCTTTCAATACTGAAACCAGTATGTGAAAGGAAGGGTCCAGTGGTTTTTAAATCCACACACTGCATATTATTATTCCCCTGGAGACAGACAGCATCTAAATCATGAACTGAGTGTATCCCTCCGCCCCTGTTACGATAACATCCATCCATATTCTCATGGCTTCAGGAGACGGTGCCACCATGAAGTAGACACGATCGTGAGTCTTCACACTGAATGTTAGGGAAGGGTTTGGACTCTGAGAAAGAGAGAGAGACAGATTACAGTTTGGCCTCAAGGGGGCAGCATTGCAACATGCAATTGTCTTATAGCAGAAGTTATTAATCAAAATCAAAGTAAATTATTAATATTTTAAGCATAAATATAAAGCTCATTATATTCATAAGTATTAGCAGCAGAGGAAAAGTACCTTGTGGGCACTCTTTAAGTGGTCGTAATACACTTCCTCTATGGCCTGGAAATAAATCACTCCTTTCAGTTTGGCCTCGTGTTTATCTGAAACCATAAAAAGTACAAAAAGTCAATATTGATGTCACGTGAATCGATCGACTTCATGCGAGGAATCATCTGACCTGCAAAGTAGCTCAGGGTCCTGCGGTTACGGTCGAAGACAAACCAGCGTTTCTTCCAGGTTTTGATTTTGCCGCCCATCTTAATGAGGAAGCCCCTGCAGGTTTTCTCTGTGATTGAGACGTGGTAACAAGTTTCTGTGTTGTGGCCGGCCGAGTCTATGTGGCCACGAAGGTCAAAGTCGTCCTTCCTTACAGGTAGGTAGCGTGTCAATGGACGAGACTGCGACGGGGACATGTAGGACGTTACAGGGGAAGCCATTTTTATTGTGCAGAAATCAATCTAAAACTAGATTTCGACATTTTCTATTGTGTGTTCTGAGTGTTTTAGCATGTGCAATAGCTACAGTGTTATATAGTAGCTAATGCGTTATTACTAGTGTTCCAGCATGTTGCTATGAGGTTACTAGGGTGTTCTTACAGTATGTGTTTGCGAATCTGTTTTGAGTGTTTTTAGCGTATTCTTAAGTAGTTGACAATGTGTTCTGAGAGTTTAGCATGTTTCTCTGTAGTTGCTAGAGGTTTCTTATGCGTTTTGTTATGTCGTTGTTAGGGTATTTTTATGTGGTTTTGGAGTCAAAATTTTTTAAACTTGTTGTTACAAATCAGCAACACATTTGTTCATCTTCAGAACACAAATTAAGATCTTGTTAATGAAATCTGAGAGATTTCTGTCCCTTCATTGACAGCCGCAACTACTACTATTAAAGTCTTACGGGTTTGTAGCAACATAAGGATGAGTAATTAATGACAGAATTGTAATTTTTGGATGAACTAACTCTTTAATATTTCAGGTAAGGTGTTCGTTTGATCTCTAACCCTAAATATGAGCACTACACTGTAAAAAAATATTGATGGTTTAACTTAAAGTAAGTAACCTGGTTGCCTTAAAATTTTAAGTTCATTGAACTGGAAAAAGTGAGTTAATACAATGAAGGAGATTAATTTAACCATCAGAAACTCAAAATTATATGTTATCTGAACTAAATAAATTATTTAAGTTGATTTGACAAAAGAAAAAATGTTGTGATTACTACACTGTAAAAAAATATTGTTGGTTTAACTTAAAAAAGTAAGTAATCTGGGTTGCCTTAAAATTTTAAGTTGATTTGAACTGGAAAAAGTGAGTTAATACAATGAAGGAGATTAATTTAACCATCAGAAACTCAAAATAATAAGTTATCTCAACTAAATAAATTATTATAAAGTTGATTTGACAAAAGAAAATATGTTGTGATAACAAATCTTGAAAATATTTAATAGCGATGCATGTCTTATCACAGCGCTCACCTGTACTCTCTGTTTCTCTCGCAGTTTCACTTCTCTCTCAATGAGTTTCTGCCTCCTGGTGGTTTCTTCTTGCAGCCGTTTCTCTAGCTCTTCTCGTCGTCTCCTCTCCTCTTCAAGGGCCCTGCTCTTGCTCTCCATCTCTCTCTCCTAATACACAAAAGACACCGTACTGTCCAGATATGCTCCCAAACGAGTTTCTTTTTAAAGCTGCACACAATTAGTACTCTCCTTTCCTGCATAAACTCCCATGAACAACATCAGAAACAGGAAGAATGACTTGATTCCCACAGTGTTCCTGCATTTCAAGCCAAATTAGTTGCCGTTCATGGCTGACCGGAAAACTTCTAACAGAGCAAACAAGCTCACGGTTTAATATCCATGAAGCCAAATTGGGTTCATGTGGGTTTATGGCGTGCTGAAAGACTGGACTGTGAACCTGATGTCAGCAGGTTTGTGTGGCCGTTTCATTACCCTGTATTCCATGAGCTGGTGCTTCTCCGCCTGAGCCTCCCGGAGAAGACGCTCCATCTCCTCCATCTTCAAAACATTGGAGGTGCTGGCGCTGTCGAAAAATATGAGACGAGTGAACGCCACAACAATAAATCCAAACTGGGCACTAAAACATTTCACCTATGGTGAGAACAATGCATACACTTGCAAATGTAAACATGACGTATGTGCACTGGCATGCATGTATAAATGCGGAAGAACACAGAAGGAACCAATAAACCTGGTCGGCACTGGAACGCATTAACCATCCAGGCACGGAGAGCTTGAGAGTGCGGCCCACAGTCTGACGTCTGATGCTTTCCATTTAGACTTCAAAAAGAACACGTGGAATAGATCTGACCAACCCCTCCTTCCTGTAAAACTCTAAATATCCCCTAAAAACTTCACTTCACCGCTTGGCTCCTTAATATTATCCCGAAAAGCTTCACCTGTAAAGAATATATGGAATCCTCTTCCATGTCAAACCACATATGCAACCATCCCATTTGTCATATACTGGCACCCCCCCAAAAAACAATAAGTTTTCCAGTAACAGATGCCTGTGATGTTTCTAACTATATCTGCATGAAGAAAATAGGAGTGCATGCAATGCAAACCACACAAGAAAAGGGCAAAGTTTAAGCTGAATTTGTTTTGCATGAATGAAATGCACTCAGCGTACCTGATTTTCTGTTGGATGTGCATAAAGAGCAACACATAATTTAAAGGTGGCTATAAGCAGAAAATATAAGACCAATCAATATTCATTATGCAAATGAACATAAGGAAGACCAATTGCAATTCACTAAATGAATACTGATGACATCACAGCTGTCAGAGACGATTTTTAATTACAGTGCCAGTCTTGTATGTACAATTTTTTTTTTTCTCGACGTTTCTGTGATCATGCTTTGCATGGTTGAGTCTAAAGCTGAATTTTAATCGGATGATGGACGGCTCTCAATCATTAGCAAAAGATAGTAGTACTTATAGTATGAAAAAAAGCTTTTAGAGTCTTCTTTTAAAGTCTTGTTGGTTAATTTACATACAAAACACATTCAAAGATGATCTAAAACCCATCATGCATTTTGTAGACAACAGATTCAAAGTAAAACCTAAACACAATTATTTCTGATCACCAAGCGGTAACATCTGGCCACCTTATTTCCATTTTTTTCTATTCCCTTGCACATATTTTATGTCCTTCAAAGAGTTCTTTCATCTTTATGGTATCTTACCAGTGGTGCCGGAGATGAACGGAGGTCATTCCTGATTTAGAACCCAAAAATCCAGCAGAGAGAAGTGGAACATACAAAGACCCAAGAACAGTCCGAACCCGCGCTCTGCGTCTGATTACATTCAAACTCGGGGGGAAAAAACCCTGTTTCCTCTAACTGTTCTTGCTGTAACCTGAGTGGATCCATTCCAGGAGCAGAGGAGGGGGTACCAACGGTCCTTCTTGGGCCCCTCAGAACTCAAATTACACAAGCCTCCAGTGCACACGCATACAACATAAACACACATCGCTTTGAGAAATGCCCTCATGTGGTCTCATCTGTCAAAGTCTTTTCACTAAAGTCTTTAACTAGTCACTCTCAAACAGATTTGAGGTTTATGGTAACCTACACAAGAACATCCACCTGAGCTTTCAAATACGGTTCCTGGATTTCAGTCTTTCTCTCTCTATTCTTTCTTCATACATTGCTCTTGTCCTCAGAATTTCATTCCTTGTACCCCTAAGCCCTGACAGACAACTCTTGGCTTGAACTACAATAGAAACTGCATGGATGTTTTCAATTACAAAGACATGGTTTGTGTCATGAGTTTATATGATCCGTCTGTAGGTCTGGAAACACACAATAGAATCTAAATGCGCACATTGCAGAGACTTCTGTTGTTTTCATATGAATAGTCTATATTTTTATCTTTATTATTCCATCTACAACTATACACACTAAATTTCTAAAGTTTGTGGTCGATACGATTGAAAAAAATTTTTTTGTTCTTTTGCTCACCAACATCAAAACTACATGCATCTTTATGGTCACACCCCAAATATTTAAAGGAAAAAAAGTGGCGTAGACATTTTTGTTCACTCAGCAAGTCAATTTGAAACAATTACAAAGAAATGGTAAGAAACACATTGAATTAAACAATTTTGAGGTAGTGAAATGTATTCCAATAATCGGTTTTATTTACAATTTTTTTTTTTACAGTATTTAGCATATGAATAATTTTTCCAAAAATCCCTAGATGCCACCAAACAAAGGTTTTGTCCGATTTATCTAACTTTCGAGGACGAAGATACAGTGGTGTGAATAAGTTGACCCCCATGCTAAAGTTGCCTAAAAAGAGGAATAAAAAAATCATCTTTTGGATATTGATCTTAATGCCTTAATTAGAAAAATGAGGAAAACTCCAACCTTTAAGGACACAAATTTTCTTTGTGAATGAATAATGTATCATAAATAAAATAAATTTTCCTAAAAATACAGCGTGCATAAGTCAGGGCACCCCTATGGTAAATTCCCATAGAGTCAGGAGGATTTTTATTTTTAAAAGCCAGTTATTTCATGGATCCAGGATAATATGCATCCTGATAAAGTTCCCTTGGCCTTTGGAATTAAAATATCCCCACATCACCACACACCTTCCACCATGCCTTGAGATTGGCATGGTTTTACTTCAGTTAGCCTAATAGCTGGTTTGATTTGCATTGAAAGATGATCTTATGGAAAGTACCCCATGCCAATCTCAAGGCATGGTGGAAGGTGTGTGATGATGTGGGGATATTTTAATTCCAAAGGCCAAGGGAACTTTATCAGGATGCATATTATCCTGGATCCATGAAATAACTGGCTTTTAAAAATAAAAATCTTCCTGACTCTATGGAAATTTAACATAGGGGTGCCCTGACTTATGCATGCTGTATTTTAAGGAAAAACATTTATTTATTTATGATACAATATTCAGTCACAAAGAAAATTTGTGTCCTTAAAGGTTGGAGTTTTCCTCATTTTTCTAATTAAGGCATTAAGATCAACATCTTTTATGCCAACATTTTTTATTCCTCTTTTTAAGCAACTTTAGCATGGGGGTCAAAACTTATTCACACCAATGTAGAATCAGTAACCAAAATCTGTGAATTACTCTCTCACCTGGAGACGTTGTCAGGCGAGCAGGCAGAGATGCTGGTTTCCATGCTGTCCGAGCTGTCCATACTCAGCGTGTCGAAGGCGCGGCCGTTGTCTTGGTAACCAAAGGAGTCTAGATAGACGTTGTTCTGAGAGGACGCGCGGCCACCGATATCACTCAACCTCGTTCGGTGCTCCTCGCCAATGTGCTGCTGACTGTGCCCTATAGACACAAACCAACCAATGAAACAAGAATTTATTCAGCAGTAATGAACAATGTGAAGTAGCACCATTTGATATCAAGCTTCTCCGGAGTCCTCCTGCCTGTTTTCAGGGCTAACTCTGCTTTACCTGAGAGTGCAGCATCACTCCCAGGAGCAGATTCTCCATCCCTGCTGCCCAGCTCAGTGTCCTCTGGCCGGGCAATGCCCAGCCCACTCTTCTCACAAAGGCCAGCCACCGTGCAATAATATCCTGACACCCTACACTACTGTTCAAAAGTTTGGGGTAAGAAAAAAAAAAAATACTTTTTTCAGCAAGCATGCATTAAATTTATCAAAAGTGAAAGCGAAGACATTTATAACACTACAAAAGATTTAGAGTTCAAATAAATGCTGTTCTGCTGAACTTTGAAAAATATGAATCATGGTTCCTATAGAAATCTTAAGAAGCACAACAGTTTTCAATATTGATAATAAGAAATGTTTCTTGAGCACCAACATTTCTGAAGGATCACGTGACACTGAAAACTGGATTAATAATGCTGAAAATGTAGCTTTGCCATCACAGGAATGAATTACGTTTTAAAATATGTTCAAATAGAAGATGTTGAACATTTTTTTAATTAGAATATTTCACTATATTCCTGTTCTTCTGTATTTTCGATCAAATAAATGCACCTTTGTTGAGCATAAGAGACTTCTTTCAAAAACTGACCCCAAATTTTTGAGCGTTAGTGTATGTGAGAGGACACCTTACTCTGATTCACAGACTGGATCCCAAGCCCCTAAAGACGTCCTTGTTCAGCTATAAATCCAGAATAAAAAGATGGATTGATATATTTGCACTTGATATCCATTTAGTTGCTGTCTCCTGAAACTTTTAAGTAGGACATCTAGTAGTGCTAGAAGCGGATGAGACTCAACTCCACTACAACTTGATAACATCAAACACAGCGAGAAAGAGCAGAGACCCGCCTCTGATGATCCTACCCAGGGGACCTTCAGATAAACCATCCAAAAACACAAAAAAGCTTTTACACCTACATTTGTAAAGTCATAATTCTCACATATGATCAAATAGCTTTAGCTTGTATTAACATTATCAAATTAAAAAGAAAAGGGTCACATTTGTACTTGTCAGGTTGAAAGGGAATGCAGATATTTGACTTAAAAATAAAATGTAAGCGTTTCCTGTTTTTCATCTTCCCAACATTCTTTCACTATCTTCACAAATCAAAAATAAACACAAAAAGTTTCCACCCAGTTGCAATAAAAATCTTCTATTTGAGAACATCAATGCCTTATAAGGCAGACTCACTTTAATTAAAGTATTGATTTGCTTGTTTTGATGGTTCAGATTTAATTTGGGGTTACTACTAGACTCGACTTGACTTTAGACTTCGTCCTTGTGACTTTAGACTTGACTGGGACTTGTGCCTATTTACTTGAAATGACTTGTGGAAAAAAGAAATTCTCAATAATTGTGATTTTTTTTATGTGATTTTTTATGTGTGTGGGGCTTGAGGAGGAATAAAGCGTTGAGCGATGTAGCCAATCACAGACATATGTGTTGATTTCTTGAACGCAATGGCCAACCAGAAGCAAAAAATGTATTTATTTTTGTAACCCATCAGCCCTCTGTGTCTAAATAAAGTAATAAAAGTCCCGGAGTTAAAAAATGTGTAAAACTAGCCTGTGTATGACATGGTATGACTTGATGACCAAGTTGTGACTTGACTTGACAAAGTTGAGTATGACTTGACCCTTACAACAGAATGACTTGACTTTGACTTGCAATGTTAAGACTTGAACTTGATTTGAGACTTGCATTTAGTGACTTACTCCCACCTCTGGTTACTACACAACTATGAGTTGATGCATGCTGGGTTTTTGATGAAGCCCAAAGTTATTTATTTTAGAAATGTAACAGTACATTTACAGAAAACAATGTACTAAAAACAGAAAAGTTTTTCCTTTGCGTTTTCGTGTACAGGCGACAAATTTCACCGACTAAAAATGCTGTGTTATCCTGCCAGGCCAGTAGATGGTGGTGTCACTTTGTAAAAAAATACAAGCCTATAGACTGAACACATAATACGCATAATGGCAAATATTTCCCAAATTCACGTTTTTGTAGTTTACATGGAGTCAATCATGTGAACCGATTGAAACCGGTTTTCAAACGTGCGTTTTCAGGCCCCCAAAATGCTGTTAAATGAAATGCACTAAAAATTTTTACTAGCCATTTTTTTTATAATTATATAATATATAAATCCAGTAATTTGATTGCATAGGATGGGAAATTTCGTCTGAGGGCCGAAAATTTCACTGTGGAGATTTCGCAACAGGTTTCCATTTGGTAAAATGGATTTCCTGCATTGACCAAAAGAAATATGCTTGGTTTGAAAGTGAATTTTGTGTGAGCTGTGCTTCATACAATCCTACACATTGGACAAAATTTCACTAATGTGAATGTGGCAATTTGTGAAAACCTCATTCCTGCCAAAATACCCATAAGCACCCACCATCAGCCCTGTAGTCCATAAACGGCAGGGTGACATAACAATTAGAGTCTATGAATAGAAATAAAATGAAAATAAAATGACTACACCCAATCATGCAGAACTGAATTACTAAAATAACACAATACCATTGTATGAAATAAATCATTTCATGCCTTAGTGATATGTACAAAATTGGAGCTTTATTTCATACAAGATCTAACCTCATTCGATAAGACCCATAAAAGGCGCTGGTTAACAAAAGTGAAGAAATGCTAACGGTTTCCGCATTTCAGTAAGACCAGACTTGTTAAAAAGCATTGAGTCAGGGGCTGACATCAGCCAATGACCCAAAAGAGGACATTCTTCACCAGAGAGGACATGCTAAAAGACTTTGACATTATTTGAATGCAAATCCAAACAGGCACATCTAGTAGACAGACTACTGTACTGTACCTTTCTTAGATTTGCCTGCAGGATAGAGAAAGTAATCCAAGATTAGGCAACATTTTACTAAAGCACCACTTTTGATGAGCATGATGTAATGCTACATAATAACACTCGTTGTGTATGAGGTGGAGAGCCCTACCCTTGTGCAGGCGGTGTGAATCCACTTGTGTCTCTTTAGGGGAGATGGCAAGGGCTCGATTCAACACGCTCCCACAGCTAGAGCTTTGAGCTAAAGGTGGATGAGACTAAACACAGAGAGTGATGTTAGAGCGGACTTTTACTTTTACATACATACATAACCATTCAAAAGTTTGAGGTGGGTACAATTTTTACATTATTGTATTATATGATATTAGTAAAATGTTTAAAGTAAGAAGTAAAACATAAAAATACACAGCATATTTCCCACTTCCCAAACAAAATACTGAATATATAGTCACCCACCCCTTTTATAAATATTTATTTAGTTTGTTATGATGAATTTTATTTATTTCAGGGGTGTCAAACTCAGTTACTGGAGGGCAACAGCCCTACAGAGTTTAGTTCCAACCCTGCTTCAACACACACACACACTTGCAGTTTTCAAATGAGCCTGAACAACTTGATTAGCTGATCAGGTGCGTTTAATTAGGACTGAAGCTGTGCCCTCCAGGAACTGAGTCTAACACCCCTGATTTATTTGATCTTTGGGTTGATTTTGGCAACTTTACCTTAAAGACTAATTAGAGACTTCTATGTATGTATGTAAATGTACAACATATTCTTACTTTAGAGGGTATGTTACGACCCAGGGTGGCACAGGTGAACTGTGGGGTTATGGTGGGCTGGGTCTTCTTCCGAGGAAGAGTGCCACTCATATGAGCTCCGCCTTCCTTACCGTACCGTTTTCTTTCCTCTAGCGTGCGGAAATGCTGAGGAACAGAAGGTTTAAGATAAGGAATGTCATTGTATAATTGCACTCATTTGTACATTCACACTCGCCAGGTTTACCTGCCTGTGGCGGCGCTGTTTTTTGGCAGGTAGAGGAGGAGGTGGAGGAGAAGGGTTGAGAAAGGTGACCATGTCTTCAGGCCAGTGCACAGAGGGAGGTTTAGGGTTGGGACGAGAGCATGCAGTGAAAGAGGAAGAAGGGATGGTGGAGGACAGTGGACAGGAAGAGGGTGAGAGCTTTGACAAAGAGAGAAAAAGAAAAAAAAAATCAGAAAATAAGGATGCCAGAAGAAGGTAGACTAATAGGATAGTTAGTTTAAAGAGGTCATATAATGGAAAAAGCAAAAAGCAAAAATATAGTCATTAAAACTAAGATGGAAAAACAGCTCATCCTGAAATCTGGACAAATTCTTATATTATATAGTTATAAGAATTATAGTAGTATGATATGACCTCTTTAATATAAAAAAGTCAAAGAGAAAGGGAGTCAAATTGTATATATATATATATATATATATATGCACACACTCTCACATATGTTTATACACACACACACACACACCCATAGTGGCCATTATACTCAATGTTTCCAGTACTTGGCATGTGCAACTAAATCCTGGATATGCTCAATTTCGAACACAAATAAACCATCCTGGTCACACACCTCAGCCTCTCCTGGTGGGGCAGAGCTCTTTGAAGGACTGGGGTCAGGGCTGGGGTCAGTCCCTGTTGCAGGGCCGTCAGAGGACTGGGTTTTGGTGGGGAGGGGGACTGGGGTAGGGTCTACCCCCAGCTGAGAGTACAGTTCATTGATCTCAGTGACTGTAACATAGCCCTGTGGAACAAACCATTCGGAAAATGGGGGGAGAGGTAAGGGGGTGAAAAGAAAGACATTTAAGGAGGTTAAACTGATTAATAAGCAAATGAATAACTAATGAATCCCTAAAATAAAATAAAAATGTTTTTATGTTAATTTAAATTAAAATGTAAATAAATAAATAAATATAGTTAATGTTAATGATAGTTCACCCTAAAGATGAAAATTATGTCAGTATTAACCCACATGTTGGTCCAAAATATACTTTCTACTGTGGAACAAAAAAGAAGATATTTTGAGAAAAAGTTTTGGTAACACTTTTAATTTAAAGTCATGCAGTTACACATTACTACATGTACTTACTATAGTAATAACAGTATATTATGCATAATTAAGTAACTAACCCTAAACCAAACCCTAACTCTATAGTAAGTTAAATTACTTATAAGTTAAATAACTCTACATGTAGTTAATTAATATTACTCAGTACTTATCCAAGTACAATGCAACTACGTCACCTTAAAATAAAGATTAACCAAAGTTTTTTATGTCCATCCAATGGAAGTCTATGGTAACCAAAATTGTTTTTTCAAAATATCTTCTCAAAATAACTTCTTTAAATGTTCCACAGTAGACGAAAGTCATTCAGTTAATGATTTGGGTAAACCACCTCTTTAAAGGATCCAAACAAGTGGAATTTATAGGAATTTATTGATAAAACAGTAAAAGAGGAAATTATTAGGATGTTATTTTCAATATCAAGAGCGTTATTAAACCTTAACTACCCAGAGAAGTGGCATGTTAGGAGGTATTTTGGAAATCAGGAAATGAGCTACAAACATTATCTTGCATGCACATTGCAAGTGCGTTACCTCAGCGTTTTTGATAGAAAGAGAGGAAAGAAGAGAAGAAAACATCAGCAGGTCAGCAGGAAGTGGAGACAGGGTTTTGTGGGCATGGCAGAATTCACTATGAGGCGGACACACGTCAGCCAACTGGAAGCAGTCCTGGAATACAGGGGGAGAAAGACCCCGTTTCCACAGTGAGGAAACACAAACAACTCTCTGCAACTAAAGATTTCCAGGTTGCAAGGGTTGTGATAAGGGCATGGGCGAAACAGCAGTCAAAGTGAAGACTTCCTTATTTACTATAGTTCATTGTGTTATAGTAACCTTTTGGGGAAGCCACACATGGTTGAAGTGCTCAGGCCCATAACACATGTGTAGTCCAAGAGAGGATGCCATAGTCCATGTTGTCAAGACAAAGAAGATTTGCCTTTAATACACAGAGAGGACACAATCCTATCAGGCTTACCTCTTTCATACTGATGGGACTGACAGGGAAACCCAATGCCCCAGTGAGCTCGGAATATTTCTTCTCCAAGTTGATAAGATTCTCCTTTTCCTGGAAAAATAGCAAGAAAATTATTTTCAATTAAGGGTACAAAAAAGGAAACAAAAATACTGTAGTATGGCTATATGGTGATATTACAAAGACAGACCTGCTGTAGCATCATCTGAAGATTGTTCTTTTCCTTCACAAAGCTGTCCTTGTCCCTCTGAGCCTGCTGGGAAATCTGGGTACACTGTTTCTTCAAGGCCAGGAGCCTTTCCTAAAGGTGTCACACATGTGTTGGACATGTTGGAAATGAATGATCATATTTAAAACGCAGATTTCGTTTCAATTTTTTTTTTCAAGTCTCAATTTTAAAGATGAGTCAAATGGTAGAAGCTAAATGGTATAAGTTAATTTAGTCTTACATTCATTTTGTGAATGTTGACTGCAATATACAGTAGTTTGTACTCAGTTTGTGTATAGTTGATAGATAACTATTAATCTGGACAGAAAATATTACTCATTTGCCATTTTAAGAGACAGGCTTGTGATAAAACTGCATTTCCCATCATTCTCTGTGGTAAAACTACAACTACTGTTGTAGTTTTTAAAAAAAGAAACTAAATAATGTAATAATAGGAAAAGATTGACAGTTAAGACATTTGTAATGTTTCAAAAAAATGAAGTTAAATTGTTATTGTGAACTTTCTATTCAAAGAATCCTGAAACTGTTCCACAAAAATATAAAGCAGCACAACTGTGAACTGTTAACATAAGAAATGTTTCTTGAGCATATTAGAATCAGCATATTAGAATGATTTCAGAAGGATCACGTGACACCGAAGACTGCTAAAATGGACAAAAATAGATAACAGTTACTATAAATGGTAATAATAACTCACAATATTACTGTTTTTACTGTATTGATCAAAACAAAAGCTGTCTAGCATAAGAGAAATGCTAAAATGCTAAAAATGCTAAAAGAGCTAAAATGCAATTACACACCTAATGCACGTATTTTGCTCTTAATTGTGCTGGATTAAATCTTCCAGTGTTTGTCAATAAGAGAAAAAGTCCCAAATCTCATCATCTTTTTAAACACATTCATAAGTAAATCACAAGTAAGAACTTCTCAGGCACCAATAGGGTGATGAATGCATTTCTAGGAAACTCACCTTGCGTGTGACGGTGCTCCGCTGGTATTCTGCGATCTCCCTGAGAATGTGTTGAGTCTGAGTCTCTTTCTCCTCATCTTGACGACTCTCTCGTTCTAGCTGTTGAAACTCTAGGTCTTCAAAACGCTTGGCCTCCACCTCTAGCGTCTCTGCATCCTGATAGACAAAAAATATGACCGTCTACATTTATGCTAGATCCATATCTTCAAAGTGGAAAGGAATTGAAGTAGTAAAACACCCGCAGTTCAACCAGCCTCAAAGAAACCAACAACAGTTCACACCAAATCCCCTCTGCTCCACCACCTTCCCCAGGGATGGAGAGACAGGGGTTAAAGTTTCACTCTGCTGGAACCAGGCCAAACAAGCCTTCAGCCACCACATGCCAGTGAACAGAGGACCAGCAACAACATTCACCCGTGACTACTGACCTTTAGAGTCAGTGGTCCTATCAATCACGTCAACACTCACATAACATGACTTTCTGCGACAGAGAAACTCAGCAGCCATTCCACTCTGTTACAGAAACAGCTACTGTACTTTACACTTTCATTCAAGACCCACCGGCTTTAAATAACCTTGTTCCTTCCCTATAACTTAATTAACAGCTCATGTGGTCACTAACAGAGAATGTGCATCAGCCTGTCAGGGTGAATCTAATGAAACTTGTCAATAACATATCTGGGACAAACATGATATTGTATTTGTAGATTTTTTTAGCATTGTTACATTATCTTCATGACAATTAAGCACCCACTACCATCTCTCAATATTGAAATTGAACAATTTAATCATTTAATTTACTATTTAATTTAGTTTATTTGGATAGCAACTCTTATATCAGTGAATTCAAATAATCCTTAGAACACCTTTATTTTTATTTATTTATTTATTTTTTATTTATTTATTTTTTTTCCTTTATTTCGTCTTTGTCCCATGTGAAGCGTCTTTGAGTGTCCAAAAAAGCGCTATACAAGTGTGATGTATTATTATTATTATCTTTAAATGTAATGTTTTTCTGCATTAGAATATCGTATGAAAAACATCATCAAATATACACGTTTTTTCTTTAAATGATTTTCGATTTTTTTGCAATATGAGATATGTATATTGTAATTGATCCTATGCATTACAATATGCAAATTAGATTTTAGATTACAGTAATGTGAATTTTTGCTTAATATTGTCACATGCACAAAAAAACTTACAATTAATTTATTAAATAATTATAATATAACCCTGACTTTTAAAATTACTTTTAAAATTTAAAATAAAATTACCCTTGACTTTTAAAATTAATTTATTAATTTATTAAATAATTATAATATAACCCTGACTTTACCCATTGGTGCCAGAACAACATTTTAGATTATGTAAAATAAAACTTACATTCAAATATATGCGATACATTCAATTATTATATACAGGAAGCGCATGCAAGACAGCCCAAATGTCTTTCATGGAAGTGAAACACAAGCAAGCATTAGTGATGAAGAGGAGATAGACTCGGCTATGAGGAAGAGGAGGATGAAGGCCGTGCGTGAGTACTGACCCTGCAGAGCTGCAGCTGAAGTTGCTCTTTCAAGGCTTCAGGGCAGGTGTCCAACTGAGTCTTCTGCTCTGCAAGCAGATGCACCAGTCGCTCTAACTTTACACGCTCCGCATCTAGCTTGGCTTTGTCCTGCACGTACGCGCAAAGGATGCAGGGAAGAGAGGAGAGAAGGGTTAGTGCTGGGGCAGGGGGGTTGGGTAGGGTTAGTTACTACATAAAGTCAGCAACAGCACAAGTGGTGTATGATGGATATGGAGGTGTTGAATTAAATGGAGAACAAGAAAAAGCAGGAAAATAAACCGCATGATGCTGATGTAATCAACATAAATATTCAAACAACTGGGAAAAACACCTCAGCAATCAGTTCAAACTAAACTGCAATTGACAAAATATTAAAGTTCTCTGAAAAATGAAAAAATTCTGTCATCATTTTCTCACCCTCATGTCGTTCCAAACCAATCATCTTCGGAAGCTTTATTTCTATCCCTCCATTGACAGTATTCGCAACTAGCACTTTGACGCTTCAAAAAAGTCATTAAGAAAGTGTAAAACTAATCCATATGAACTGATTGGTTTAGTCCTAATTTTCTGAAGAAGCACGATCGCTTTATATGTGAATAAAAGCCTAAATTCAATCTGTTCATATAAAGCGATCGTGTCATCTTTGCAACACACGGAAGCTCAGGCATGTTCGTTTAAGCTCAAGAACCGATGAGGTTAATTCTCATGTGTTGCGTTAAATCTTGATTTGTTTTACGAAGATGTTGTTATAAGTTCGGAACGACATGAGAGTGAGTAAATGATGACAGAATTTTTTATTTTTGGGTGAACTAAACATTTAATGAAAATGGCCACTTTGCATGCAAGCAACACTCACTGCAAAGAATGGCCCCAAGTGGCAGCAACAGCAATATAATAACAGACACCAATGTTCAATAAATGACTTGCACCAAGTGATATTGTCCATCTGCAGGCAACTTATGTTTGCCAAGCAACAAAACAGAAAACACAATATAGTATTCACTTGATAGTTGTTACAAAACCTTGTTACAGTAGATCCATTGCCAACACAGCAGCATCCAGACAGAATGGAACTTGATCAGTGAACAAATCAACCATGAAACGGCCCTTCAGTTAAAGGGTTTGTAGGCTATATCGAGTTTCTCTGCAGCTGCCAGGCTAAATGGAATGAGCCGGAAGTCAGGCTGAACTTGAGACGCAGGTGCCAGGGTTTCTTAGCTCAGAAATCCCTCACATCAACAGTGTGGGGTGTCACTCAGTTTAGCAGAGGTGTATTTAGAGCAGGCCTGGGATTACCAACTGTGACACCAACTGAGAGGTTGCCAGGAAATGCAAGTGTGTGTGAGACTCTAGAATTGATATTTCAGAAGTAATATGGAAAGGAAACTTTGAAACCGCATCTTCGCAAAACTTTAAATTAAACTTTGATTGTAAAAAAATGCCATAAGCAACACTAGTAGCAGCCAACTTGCCTCACTCAAACTTCATCACTCAAATAATACAGATAATATTCCATCAGATAATACAAATTAACAGCATTTATCTGGCACACAACCAGTGAGAAATTCAATAAGGGTGACATTAATAAACTTGAAAAGATAAACCTGCATAAAAACTATTAAATATTCAAAATTTTAGATAAAATTTGGTCTAAAATAGTGAAGAACTACAGAATTTGACTGCAAAATGCCTCACAGGGACTTCCACATTTAAGGCCTCAAATGAATCAGTGATTCATTTTGGTAAATTGTACATTAGGATGGTTCATATACACTATTGTGCAGAAGTTTGGGTCAGTTTTGGTTTCTAAAGTTGTTTTTGAGTCTTACTCTCACCAAAGCTGAATTTATTTTAGGGTGAGCATATTTCAGTTTTCAGAATAGAGGACGCATGTGGGGGGGTGCATCAACAAATACTTGTGCATTAACAACCTTGTAAATATGGAATTGTACTTCAATACATAAAGTCAAATATCATTTCCATTGAATTTTGGCCCACATCAATAGAATAATAACGAATAACGAAATAACGAAAACACCACATTTTTCTCTGTAAATCATCTGTGAATTTACAGTTGGGCTTTTTTTACGCTGTGCATTTGCCACTGTTGACAAGCAAGCTCTGTTCTGTCTCTTGGCTGCTGTTGCCGTGGTGCTGAGGGTAAAGATTGAGATGTAGTTTGACTAATGTTTGCGTTACGACCTGTGGTGGCATGTGAGAAGGCGGGACCTAAAGCAATGCAAAAACAGCGACTGTGGAAAGCCGAAGGTCCAAAAAGAGGACATGTCCAGGAAAAAGAGGACGTATGGTCACCCTAATTTATTTAATCAAAAAGTAAAATAAACCCCCATTTAGAAATCTTAGGCCTGGATTCAAAGACAGTTCAGACTAAGCCAGACTAAGCTTTTATAAACATTCCTTAGAAAAAGAGCGTTACTGGTGTGCATCTTGAGGCAAAACTATAGCACTGACATATTTTAAGTGTAAATTGCTTTTAGTTAAAACAGCTCAAACATGCATTATAGTCTGAGACTATAGGATTAAGCCTTGTCTGTGGATCAAAGGGGAAATGTCTTAACTACCACTTTTATTCAGCAAAGATGGATTAAATTAATCAAAATAATTTGCCGAAAAAAAATTACCGATAATTACCGGTAGCATAAATTAAGTGGCACATGTTTAACATTTATATTATGAACCCTCTGAATGAACTGATTTCCTAAAATGAATCTGATTTGCCAATACTGCACACTAAAAGAAAGGACAGTTTAGTAGAGCACATTTGAGTAAAATGAGTAGTGTCTCTATAGTTAGATAACTACCCCTCAACACTGATGAAGACTTCATCATGGCCACATACCTGAGATTTTTCCGTCTGCGCTTTGTTTTCGATGTCAGACATCTTTTCTTTAAGTTGCTCCAGAGCATCTTTCTCCTGCTGTAGCTGAGCCATCTCAGAATCCTGCTCGCCTTCCAACAGAGCCCGCTCCATTTCCAACTACACACACACACTTAATTTGAACTCAATCTACAGTTATACATTTAATAAAAAACATCAAAACAATTGAAGTCGCTGACATTAACTACAGCAATGTATTCAATGATTTTGTGGTCAACTCTGATGTCATGTCACCACGTTCAGGACCACCTAGAAGGTGCCTCATTTCACACAAATAAAAAGAGGCCCGCATTCTGAGCTCATAAAACCCAACATAATAAAACTATATCACCATACTGACATTATGGGTTTGTTGAATGGAAGTCTAATGGAACAGCTGACTTCCAGAAGACCAACCAAATAATAATGCTTTTTGAAGTATCAATAAATGCCACTTTAAATATATTTAAATAGAACACAGTTCTTTTAAATAGTGATCATTTACAATATTAGTGTTTTTACTCTGTTTGTGATCAAATAAACTCATCCTTGGTGAGCATTATTCTTGGTGACAATCATTCTTTCAAATACATTTTATATTTCATACTTATTTCAAACTTTTGATAGGTAGTATAGGGGTCTCAAGATGTCAAAGTAGGCTAATAAGGTAAAAATACTGTTAGCCACCACAACAATTTTCTACACTACTTTGAAGAGACTTATCTAGTTATTGTTCACTTCATTGCATGATTGTAACATCCATTCAAGTTGCTTGTCCCACCCCAAGTTTATTCGCATTGGTCCATTGCTTTTAGACTGACTGCAACAGCCAAACAAATGCAGTAACAGAAAGAGTTAACAGTAAGAGTTTGTCAGGGCCTTCAAACCTCAACAGATCCTCACAAAGAGAAAAGAGTAAATAGGGGAAATGAGGATGACAGGAAGGGACAGTGCATTACAGTGGGGGGCAGAATAGAGGAGCATTAAAATATTGAAATCGAATCACGATGAAATGTGTAGTTTAAAGGGAAAAACAGAAAGCAAGGCTTGAAGTGAGAGAAAGTAAAACAGGTTTAGGCTTGGCAGGTCAGACCCCCTTGTCTAACTGCGGTCCTCATCACAGCTCCTAATTACTTCGCCACATGCACAACTCTCCCACATAGACACTCTTCTTCCATTACTCCCACCATCCCTGATCTCTCCCACTCCTTATACGACCTACAGATGTGTCAACTGTACCTCTCTGATGGACTCCTCCATTTGGTTATCCAGGTCTTTGATCTTCAGCTCTAACTCTTCCATATTGTTCAGAACCTGGATCCTCTCCTCCTCTATACGTCTTACGTCCAGCTTCAGCCGTGTGTCGTCCTCAGACACCTGTTGAAGACATGATACTGTAAGCAACCACATAACTACACTGTTCAATGCAGTAAGAATTAAAATATATTATAAAAGACTTTAGCTCAGTTCCAAACTGTTGTTTTTGTTAACTAAAACTGATTTTTTTAACTAATAAAAATGACCAGCACATGACAAAATTACTAAAACTAAAATTGAAATATAACTAAAAATACTATAATACTATGCAAATAATGCTAATGTCTAGGTAGGCATTTTAGGCAACTCATGATGGTTTGTTTTTAAGTGTTAAGGTATTAATCATTTACTATTATTTTTAAGGTCACATGTTCAAGACGAGCAACTTTGGATAATAATCTTACAAATTATTGTGTCAAAAGTTTATTAAAGTGCTAACGACAACCAGTGTTGTTATATAATTAACTATTCAAAATTGTTTGCATTAATTGAAATAAAGACAAAATAAAAATGTTGTCTTGGCAATTAACTGAAGATTTAAGTTGAAGGTCAAATTTAAGTTAATTACCAACAAAAAAAAACTAATAAAAATCACACAACAAAATTACTGAAACTAGTCATTCAAAGCGGCACTGGACCATTTCAAAGCAGTCACTCAGGGCTATGTCACTGCAATTAGTGTAAAGCCCTTTAATGCAATCCATAGCATGGACATGCCCCCTTCTGGCATCTGAGAAACAGGATTCACTGAATGAACACCAACGATGAATGGGTCCAACGGAAACTTTGAGGAACAGAGGGGTGGGGAGATACATACTTGATTTCCTAAACCGATTATTTATCTAGGTTTTCAATATCCGTGAAAGGCAATCTGCTCGTTTTGAGTTTTATAAGCAACAAGTTGACCTGTGACCTGGAAGAATCCACATGCGCGTGCATGTATGATTAGGTATGGGTGAAGAGACTGCCATTTTTCCATTGTGTGAGGCAGAGATCAACCAAACACAATGCGCATGACCCTGCTATATTTGGACAGTGATGTTTATATCTTCTCATCACAGTTTATACTACCGAGGGCCTGTCTCTGTGCTGCTTCGGCTCTATCTGTGCGGTCTAACTAGTTTCTATAGTCATATTGTCTTCTAACTATAGCATATATCTTTAGATGATTAAATAACAGAACCAACGCATGACTCCTGTGCGGAAGACTAATTAGATTAGTCTATATGGGAGTTGAAGGGGAGACACACGCACATTCCTTCACGAATTAAAGTGTGCATGAGGTTAAGTGCATGCCAAGGAAGGGTGGGAAACTCATATAACCTCTCCAAAAGGTCACAGGAATTAGCAGTAAGGAAACAGCCTAGATTTACAAATGGTTCAATTTCCTAATGAAATTAAAACACACACTGCATGCAGAAAAGATTTGGATAAAGCCATAGCGGAAAACAATCTGTCAGAGTAAAGCCGACCGGGACAGACCAATCAAACAAACACATGACTTCAGGTCCTCTCAGAGTATGCTTGTAGAGACCTGATATGACAACACCAAAGTCCATGGTTTCTATAATATAATTCATTGTTTAATAAATATCTACATTTTAATTTAAATATAGCAATTATATTATATTGTATATTACATGCCCCCGAAAAATATATTTGGACATTTATATCATCTTGATGGAATGCAAATGCAATGACCGCCAAATGGTTCCAATTAAGGCGATTTTTAATAGATGCATGAAGTCAGTTCCTCTCATTCATTCATTTTCCCTAAGTGGCTTTACCAATTACCTTGTTTATCCGTGTCAGTCGAGGAGACGGGGTGGGGGCGGAGCCAAGGACAGCTGTCGTCTCCACCCTAAGTTCTCTGTGTCCACTGTTCTTGAACTGCCGTGCCCGTCTCTCCTCGCTGCCCTGGGTCTCCCGGGCTTTAAGCCCGTAGTCGTTTTCAGCAGAATTGCTGGCTGACAAACTTGCAGAGTCTGAGAACGTTGACTCATCATCTGACACCTGTAATTTCTCCAGCTCCTTGTTGATCTTCTGCAAGTCTGCGACGGCCAAGCCGGTTTTGTCCTGCTCTGCGCGACCCAGCCCAGAACACAGATTGAGGATAGTCTCCAGACGCTGACGTTCCTATGGATCAGACAGAAACAAAATGCATTCATACACATGCAGCATCAAACTTAAAAGAAAAAAGAAAAAAAGTCAACTAGACAGCTGGAGGGAATAAGTTTTGGAAATATTTCTCACCTTTGAGATGCACACAGATTTACCTGCAGCAGTTCTAAACATGTCAGCATGAGATTTTTCTCCAAATAACAAACATTTCACTTTAACAGCCCATGTGAAATATAAAGAAGAGCATTACTTGTATTCCTTCAAACGTATTCAAGAAGGTCCAATATCCAATCGCCTTTGATTCAAACGTTTAAATGAAAAAAATGCGGAAAAGCACATTTGACAGCCCAAAACTGTGGTCAGAGAAAGACCAGATGGAGACAACCAGTTACCAGGCATATACATCCAAATACAATCCTGGCTTATGAGGGAGTGCACTTGGCTTAAACAAACCCCTGTGTTTATCGACTGATATGGAAATACAAACAGCAAGTTCAGGCAAGCATTTCCAGAGCCAAGAAAACCGATCACACAGGTTCATATAACTGTGAATGAACAACCCGACCTGCATCATAGGCACATTAACAGTTATTAAATTCATAAAGAAGACGTTTCCTTGTAAACTGAAACCTGGCCACAAAACAAGTCCAGCATTTTTATGCATTGCCATGGCATTTATCAGAGAGCTCTACTTACCTTGTCAACATATTCAGAGGTCAGAGGGCACATGCTGACCTCCTCATCACAAGAGGAGATCATGCCATCATCAAAAAGATGCTAGGTTCAGTGAAGTTCCTCAGCACAGTATGCATAAATGACAGAGAGACATGAACTCAACAACTTCATTGCCACACCAAACCAGTGTCAGAAACACAAACCCTCTGACGGAGAGAGGGAGATGATGGTCCTCTCAGGAACTGGGCTCAGAGTGAAACTGGACCCAATACAAACTGCTGGCACTAGATGGGAAAGGATACACAAACCGTGCATATAAATAGTCATGAGTAATAAACAAATATTACTCATGACACGCTATCAGCCCCAATGCATGAGCGAAGGGCAAAACTTCACTGGATCCTTTACCAAGGACATGAAAGTCAATGTAAATAATCTAGGGCTGTGCAAAAATTAATTGCGATTAATCGCATCCAAAATAAAAGTCTGTGTTTACATAATATATTTGTGTGTGCTGTATATAATTATTTTGTATATATAAATACCTATGCATGCATGTATATATTAACGAATTATTTGCGCTTAAATTCTGTATATATATATATATATATATATATAAATACATAATCTATATTATATAAATATATATATTTTATATATGAATAACACATTTTCTTAAATATATACATGCATGTGTGTGTATTTATATACAAAATAATTATATACAGCACACACACAAATATATTATGTAAACACAGACTTTTATTTTGGATACGATTAATCGCAATTAATTTTTGCACAGCCCTAAAATAATCCTAAACTAAATAATTCCGGCAAATTTTTTGCAAGCAACATATTAATATTAATAAATATAAAAATAGATCTCAAATGCATGAAATTAAATTGTTGCTATAGTTTTTTCCCAATACTTTAGATCTCATTGGGGTCTGAAAAAAAAAAAAACTGCACATGCTATGCTTAAATGAATGGGGTTTTTTTTAAATCATGTACGACCAGGGTTAAAGTCTGTAATGTTACATTCCTCTGAGAGAGTATGTTTTTCTAAGAAACCCTGTGAAAGTCTGTGTGGATATACATCTCCACCTGTAGCAGCCTTGTTTTCGCTCAGTTGTGGCCTTGTAAATATCACCAGCCTGTAGTTGTGGTGCTAGCTAATGAGTGGGCGGCCTACGCTGATGGTTTGGCCTCTGCCCAGCAGGGCGGCGCCACAGGTGGCCTCCCTTAACCACAGCGTACAAAAAACTCTGATGCCTTTCATTTGAACCCCACAGAGAGCAGCTGAAAAGCAAGAATGGAGCATGTTAGCGTAGGCAATTTGCCAGCATCTTCTGCAGCTGTGGGCGCCCTCCCACAGAGAGTGTGTTCAGGAGGCCGGGTTCAATGAAAGTGGATGTGGTTCTGGGCTGTCAAGCTGTCTATTAATAGGAGGTTTATACAGCCACACCTCTGCTTGGGTCTTCCACCGCATCCACTACAGAGAACGAGAGGGGCCTTCCTGCACATGGTCTGTTTCTTATAACTGTGTGGAATGCCAGAGAACAGGTTTAGTGGGGAGATTAATTATACTTCTGGTGGGATCCCCTGTATCTGAGCTCCCTCAAGATGCCTTATTCCAAGAAGAATTGAAATATCACCAGCTTTTCACTTGATACCCCTCACAATGAGGAAAGAAAACAGGGTCATGGAGCAGGAATGTTAAAAGTTTTAGAAAAAATCACATGTTCTTTGTATTGGGTGATTTTTAAGAAGAATGATACGCTTATAAAGAATAAAAATAAAAGGGAAACAGATGATTGGACATGCAAATGTTTTAATTCTTCTAAAATTATATGCGTATTTTGTGTTAAAGTCAACATGAAACAGAATTTAAAACCGATACGTAATGTGACATTAAGACAAAAGGGTGGGATTTGAGTCAAAGGTGGTCGTTCTATCACAGATTGAAGTCAGTACTTAAGTGTTAATCGGCATTGAAATACGGTCAACTGTCGTCAGGAATGAACGTAGTATGCTGTAGTAAGTACAAATAGTAATTTTGATTCAATTATTGATTCATTAGTCATTCACTGATTCGAGGTTTAAGCCAATACGTACACATAAGTCCTGCATATGTCACCAAAGTGAAGTCAATTGTATCAGTCAAAGGTTTGTTATGATATTGGTTAAAATTATGAGCTCAACAAATAAAAACAAAAGCATCGATGAATCATTCACAATAAGATCAATAACATGCATTTAAAGCAACACATCAACAACATAAAGTGACAAAAGTCTCTCACCAGTCTTTCGACTTCCTGTTCCCGCAATCTTTCATCCCTCTGTCTCTGGTGGTAGTCTTGAAGCTCTTCCTTTCCACTAAGAGAGCTGATGCTGCCCTTTCTCTCCCTGAAGCCACTCGGCGGACCCATCCCTGCCTTTCCGAACGACTGCCTCCTTTCCCCGAGACCGATCTCCAGAGCTTGTGAGGGACCACGCATAGCTTGCCTGTCCACTTCTGAGTAGGAGCTGGTGGAAGTCAAACTCACCTTCTTGGCTTGCCGGGGACTGGTGGCTTCTTCTGATGTCATGGTGACATCCGGAGGGGCAACAGTGTGTTTGGTGCCAGGTCTGGTGGACAGTGAGATGGAAACTACTTCAGTATGACCATTCTGGTGTTTGGGATCAGAGGCTCCAGTTGGGGGTGAAAGATGGCCGTCGGGGGACCGATTGCTTGGCAGAAGGGTGAGTTGGGCATCGGTGGGTCTATAGAGGCGTGGTAGGGAGCGGCTGTGCGAGCTCATTCCTGTAAGTGACCCAGCGGAGTACTTTCGTTGCCGTGGAGTGGGCTCGAGTCCACCGTTACGTCCCACATCTGGGGTGTGGAATCGACGAGCCAGACGGGGACTGGAAGGCATGCTAGCTGCACCACTACCGGCCCCTGGTGTTGGAGGGAGGGAATCAGTCCCACTGGTGGACGAGCCGTTCCACATTGAGAGTGCTGAGCCTGAGGTTGCGGCACGGCGAGTGTCTGACGTATTGAGGAGCAGACTATCCTGAGATTGGTTCCGGCTCATGGGTCGAGAATAAGGAAGTGATGCGTCGCGATCTCGAGGGTCGGAACTGCGAGGAGACGGGGGCATGCTGCTGGATGAATGCATTGGCACTCTGGCCACAAGCGGTGGCCGTTCGGAGCTGTACAATCGGCGGGCTTGTTCCTGATAAGATATTGGGGAGGATGAGGTGATGGGTGACAGCAAATTGGGTGTGGTGGGTGGAGACTGTGTCATGCTGAAGTAGGAGGGGCTTGAGTCCCCATTGGCTCGCAAGCTGTTCTCCAACGCCTGCTTCTTTTTTTGTAAAGTATCCATCAAATCGCGGAGCTCAGAGACTGAGCGCATCCCTCTTGAGCCAGAGCCACCCAGACAGTGATTGAAATCACTGCTGAACTTCAGATAATCTAAAAATAAACACAAGAAAGGTTCTTCAGAACAATAAACAAGAGTTTTTAACTAGTAGCTTCGTTTTTAAAAAGGTCAGACAATTACAAGCATGAGAAAGTGGTTATGAGTTATATAACTGTCTGCTTGGCGATTGTTAACTCCTGGAATTGCTTTAATTGTTTGCAGGAGTACAGGGAGCTCTGACTGCTGTACCTGAGAATCCTGCAATGAACTGGAACAAAAAGATCATCACTTTTCCCTTAAGGATAAAATACAAATAAAGCCTGTCCACCTTGCTGTCAAACTATTTCACGTGGCTCTACAGCTTAAACCTACATAAACCTGGTCAGTTAAGACATTATCTAAAAATAGATACTGACCAAAGTCCAACATTATTTAGAAACAAAGAAACTGACCAATCGACTCTTTACAAAATATTGCACAATAAGGTTATCTAGGAGTGTGAAAGTCACACAAAAAAAACTTCCTTAATAATCAATTTGTTCAAAACTATCATTTCAAATAATGTAGATGATCCAGCACAGGCTAAGAAGAGATTGGATAAAAGATAGAAATGTTTGATTTGGCCTCTAGGTTTGCTATTCTATCCTCCCTCCTTCACAGACACAATTTTCTCATCTGCTTTTTGGACGAGAGTTAAGTTTCAATCCGCCACGTGCCAAGACAACGAAGATCAAAGAAATCCCGCTTCAGATGACTGACGTGAATGCTCATAAAACACATAAACCTGCACATGCCAAGAAAAATCCCTTTATCTCTTTAAGGTGCGTGTGTGCGTATTTGGCTGGAGCAGAACTTTAATCATGGAAGAATCACACGCGTGAAGGTAAAGAAGGAAATAAAGCAGAAACTGAAAGATATATCTCAAGGATGAAAGGTTAAAGGAAAGGCATGCAAGATCACACAAACTTTGACCATACATGGGGAGGTTCTGGCTCACTATTTAGCAACAAGCTCACTTTTTATGGCTACCTTAAGAAACTGATGCATGCTGCTGATGTATATATATATATATACCACTCTGGTGAACTCTAATCTCTATAAACCAACTAGACAGTAACATAAGGTTTAAAGTTTACCTTATACCACTATAGTGAGCAAAGTCAGTCCCAGAATGTGTGTTTTTCCCAGGTTTGCTATGTACGATGCACTTTGAGTGAGTTGGTTCACTTTTGTTTATGTGAAGATTCATTCCTGCTGTCTAGCAACAAAGTGTGAGAGCGAGAGAAAGACTGAGAGGAGGTGGCAATGATTTATGTCGCTCTCTACACCTCACTCAAAATGTTCAATCAATCAACGGGGTGAATCCAAACCACATCTGTTTACAGATCACACATTCCAAGAGACAGACTGGCTCCCAAAGTGTGTCTGGGTTTGCTTAGATATACTAGAGTTAGTTAGCTAGCTAGTGTTTCATTTATATATAAATTCTCTTTCAGGGTTTGGGCAATTGTAATTAACTTAACGGGGCACTTGGCAACTATTCAACCGTTTAGAAATAATTTGAATGGTTTAATAACCTGTTCTGGAGAGAATGGGGACTTTACCCGCTCCCCCCAGCTTTCCTAGGCGGAAAACCAACCTTGCAACATCAGGACAAACGTCCCGGTAAGTTGGAAATAGAAGTCTAAAGAAGTCTAAAAAAAAATGTTTTTTTAAACTCTTTAGAATTTTTTTTTTTATCTGATACTAAGTGCTGAGGTGTGTCATATTTTATTACTGCACAGAAATTGGAGCAGAGATTGCTCCGAGCTCAGCTGTGTAAAGATACCTGTAAAATAGACGTTTAGCAACCCTAAAAGAGTTCTGCTTCATCAAAGCCTTAGAGGATCCTATTGCAGACTGTAAAAAAAAGAGACGTGACAGATAACTGAAACCATGTATTACACACACACACACAGAGAGAGAGAGAGAGAGAAGATCCTCCATGGATGATGAGCTGGCATGTTGTGGTATGGGATACAGGCTGTGTGTGTGCACAAAAGATCAGTGGTTTCGGTTCCTGAGGGGGTTTGGGTGCAAAAGATGGATAATTAAAGAAGAAAGGTGAAGGAAAGATGATGGTGATGGTAAGATAAGTTGGAACACTTGGAAGAAGGAGAGGTTACCTGTGCTGTACACAAGCGGAGAGACGAGACTCTTCTGAGGAAGCATGCTTTTCATACGGCTGGCCTCCTCGGGATGGTTAAAGCGAAAAATATAGGATTTACCAAGACAGAGTGTGTAACCTGCAGAGATGGGAAAATAAACACACACAGATCAATCTAAGAAAGACAAGTTTAGTGTTCACGTCACTCAAATCCACAGTCCACTGAGACAACACTAGAAGACACAGGAAAACTGAACTGTGAAATAACACTGAAATCTTCAAAACATTGAACCATTCATGAATCTTTCAACCATATCAATCAATTAGTCATGTTGTTACTCAGCATGGCTGCACATACTGATTTTATACTAAGCTTGTTTCACCATACAAACTGACTTATACATCAGTTTTTTCCTCATTTTGTCTGTACAGTGCTACTTCATGAGGGTCTGGGTCTGTTCTTTCCACTAATCTGAAATCAGAGACCACAGAACAGTAGATGGATGCAAGCCCGGAAAAAAGTCATAGAAAGCGGAATAACAGCTCATGGAAAATATGTAGGACCTCTTTTTCTTCCTCAGTGAAACCCCAAAATATTTGTCTCAATGTTTTTTTTTTTTTTTGCTGCATATGAGGATGTAAAAGCAGACAGACTTGTGTGAGCCTAAGAAGAAAACAATTCCACCAAAACAAGAACACATTGTAAATGTGGCCACATCCCCACATTGTAAAACATGATATGATCAATAAGTCATGGCGTTATGTTTTTTCCCCAATACTTTAATCAAACTAAACCTATTTGATCATTTTTAAATGTTCAAAAGTTGAAATGACTTTAATAAGTTGAATGTCCAGCACTTTTACTCACTGATGCTACAAACGTCCAGGTTTGGGATTGATTAAATGCCAAACCCCTGACATTCCTAAATCTGCCACCATTCTGGGGTTTGGGTACACTGGCAGAACATTTCTTCAAAGCTTTCTCTGGACTTCCCTTTAATGTCTCACAGAATGGACAAATACAGCCTGAGCTGTGGGATGCACTGATTTCATAACAACAGATGGACACAATGTGCAGGAAAATAAAGCCCTGAGTCAGTCACTTCCAAAGGCATAACACGTCCAGAGCAACACACTCCACAGTCATGAAACAGAAACATAAACAGACACACGTGTGCGCACACACACATAGACACTCGTACGTGTTTAGTCTACACAGCTGTGCTCGATCCTAAGGCTAAATAAATACACTTTCAAAAGAACAAAGATATACAAATCTAAGCTTGGCAACCAAGGTGACTGTATTGCAGATCTGTTTCATGTACTTCCATGCAGAATACATTTGTGTAGGTTCATAAAAATGTTTCCAAGACTTTCATGAAGGTTTACACTTGAAGTTTATGGCAAGTTTTTTCCTGCCCTTCTGCCCCACAAATGAATCCACAAACACAGCTGCTTCATCTTATAAACTCTCTCTTTTAAAGTCAGGCTTGGATTAAAAATAAGATCCCTTTGATCGCATAATCAAATGTGCATGTTTCTTTATGAACAGTTCCCTGCTCAAATTATTGGATTAACTCTGCTCCACAAGGAAACAATCTTCTGGTACAATAAAACATTTAATATATCTGTGTAATGCTATAAATTAGATTGGAGAAACAGTAAATATCATAGCATGGATACTAGGTAAATGTTATTTGAGAATTACGAAGAAGGAAATCATAATTGGCCTTTTGCTCACAAAATTAAAGCATCACAGTTCATGTGCTGACATGCAAACACCACTAAGAGAAAACAACAATACAACAACACCCAACCATATGATACTCTAAAACTATGCAGTAATCAAACTTTGACTGGCATCAAAAATGTCATAAATGTTAAATAATTATACCTCCTGCATTTTCCATTTTGAATTTAAATGAAACGAGGGTGGCATAATTATTTATGTATTATTTAAAATGTATACTTTTAATTTGATTATCACAATAAATTAATCCAAAATACCACAACAACCCATCCTTACTGACGGTGTTAGCCTGTAGCAACAGCACTCTTTGTACTACTTGGCCATAATTTACATAAAGGGCCAACCTGTGGATTTCTAAACTACCTGTATTTGTAAATGTGAGAATCATATAAAAGCTAGATAAGTTACACATAGCGAAAAAAAAGCAATTTGTGTATCTTTTTTCCCGTCTATAGTTACTCCATGGTTACGCGTGCCAATAAATTAGTCTAACAGTTTAAATATTTACATTTTTTATGATGACATCGTAAAAAATAAAGACAAATATTAGTAGGCTTGCAAGCTAAATCAAAAAACAACGTTTTACTAATTAAAAAATAAGTGGCACTATGACGTGACACTACACTACGATGCCGTGAACGAGCACGCATACAGTAGGCGGCTTCGTTGATCAGCGTTTGCGTCCTTGACCTCCAGTGTAGATTATAATGTAAAAGTCTAACCACATATTTAATCAATTAGCTGGAAGAAAACGATTAATAAGAAAGAAAACAAACCTTTCAGGAAGTCACATTAAGCGAGTACCTCAAAGCATGAGCGGAGTTCTGCAGTCAATTAAGTTAGTGTTTCACGCCGAAAGCCATGACCCGCGTGCGTTTCACTGATACAAACACGCGCGCATCTCACGCGACCGTTTCACTTTCCTCCCTTCTGAGGTCACTCATTCAGTGAGAATAAAGCAAACGCTCCAAACCCAACCTAAAGGGGTGGTGCTCTTTACATACTCAAGTACAACATAGGAGGGAAGTCCAGCTATTTGAACTAGTAACTCATTTGAACTCGCATTTAAAGGTATTGTCTTTCAAAGTTGCATAACGTGGACATTGGTAGTCTCGAAAGTTGTTCTGTTTGTTTAAGCAAACACTTGTTTAGTGAAAGGGGTGACTTAACCCCACCCCCTCCATTTCCTTTGTCTACCTACTCAGATATAAAGTTACCTGATGGAATGTTCAGAGGAGAAGAAACGCTATGGAATAGTACAAGAAATGTTTATCAAAACACTTTCTCCAAGATATTTTCCATTCCCTCTGCAGGATTTGTCTGTTGAGTAATAATTTGTGAAACTCTGACTGAAAAAGAAATCAATTGTTCCTCTTGCACAAGATTGAACATAATCTTGATTCATTTTCTGACCTCTCCACATCATCATGGGGATGTCAGCACAAAACCCCCAGCCTTCATTAATCATAATGGTGAAATGTAGTCTGTCATCTGTAGTCAGTTGCACAAAATGTATGATGTACGTATAAAATTATTGATAAAATAGAGTTTTTTTCTATAGTTTTCAAACTTTTTAATGACAAGAACCCCTCAAATTTGACAAACCTGTATCAATTAGCCTATATTTGAATGAACTTCATAGTGCATGCTGATCTAGCCTATTTATACTGAAGATAACTGTAAGATCATATAAGATCATATTATTTCTGAAAATAAATTATTGTAATTATTAACATAATCTTAAGGCAATTCGTTATTGTTTTACCTTTTGGTGGCCTGTTCGTATCAGAGCCATATATCTCTATATGGCTCTGGTTATCTAATTTTTTCATAATAATCATACGTTCTCATATTTTAATTCACATCGTACAAATTCATATGAAATCATATGAAAAAAGTATATATAGTAAGGCATAAAACGTGCACTCAGTGGTCTGTTTTTAATAATAGGGTTCTGCTATTTACATACCAGACACCTAAGACTCACATAGTCTGGAACAGTCAGTCTAATAATAGATTGAGTCTGACACCAATCAAAGAATTTACCAATCAAATGAAGTTTTGCAATTGTAAGTGGCGGAGGTGGAATAGACCTCTAACTGAGCTCTGCTGATTATTACCAGTCTTATAGCTTCTGTGCTCAAAGCATTTAGAGTTACGGGAGGTTAGCCTCAAATATGCTAGTTTTTTTCTCTTTGACAGCAGAGCATCCTTTTAAATAGCATGTGTCTGCTTGTTGCAATGCAGATGTATAATATGAGTCACAACTGGGTCTCTCTTCTAAAAACATTCAAAAACGAAAATAAATTTGTTTTAATTTGCATTACAGTCGTGGCTGTTGACATTCCCTCCAACAGAAACAAAGACAGAAGTTGAGGACCTATCTCACAATGCAGTCAATATTTGCATTTCGTGAATGAAGAGTGTCAGAATAAGTCTGGTAAATGTTTATCTGACTCGCTCTCACTGAGATGTGAAAGAAAATGAGCATGGAGAATGATGGATCATTTGTTGAGGAACTCGGTGAGGCTAAAGAATGCAGGAATTATGGGAAAATACAACCTTGGGTTGAAAAGCTGAGCTCGGGAGCTTACTCTAACGCTTCTGGAAGCTCTGAGTCACAGTGTCGCATTAAGAAAAGATCCAAAACCACACCAATTAAACTCTGGTTTACGTCCAAAACCAAAACCCTGCTGGATAGACACGTCATGCATTTCCACTATAACGCACTTCATTCCCAGGTCATAAACCTCTTCCCTTTTTCATTTACTCAGACACTGTGTTTTCCAAAGCAAACTAACAGAATGCAATGCATGATGGTTCTTTGTTGTAAATGCATTTTGCACTTTTTTCAAATGTGCTGAAGTACTGCGGTCATAATTCTGTTGTGGTTACCTTGCGTGAGTTGTGTGGGTCTGGTAACAGGGACTCCATCGAGCGAACACAGGTGTCCGCATGGGTCAAGGGTGATGAACCCTCCTCTGTTCTCAATCCTGCAGTGTTCTGCTTCAATGCCGGGACCCTCAATAGTGATGTCCTGAGGTACAGGGGCATCGTCACGGCCTATGCGTGTCACTCCTGCAATAAAAATCAAATAAATATGAAGTATGACGCATTTACTGCGGATTTAAATTAATCTGGAGTGTAAGAAATAAAAGACTGTAAATAAATGCATTTGTAGTTATGCTTATGTTTAAAGAATCTGTAAGACAGTTACAAGAAAAAAAACATTCTAATTATTTAGAAATATGTTTACACGAAAGCGTTTTTCAGAAACGTTTTTCGCGTATAGACGACAACATTGTCAAAATGATCCTGTTCACATGGATCAGCGGAAACAACTGCTGTATTGTTCATGCCAGACCAGTAGATGGCGATGTAACTTGTAAAAAAAACAACAACTACGCGATACAAGAGAACCTATCATAAGATAACTGTTGTAATATGTATTTTTAATTGCATTGTCATATGAAAAAGCAGTCAATAAATAGACTCAGACCTAATCTTAATCCTACAAACATTATCAGGGGACATTACGATAGAAAAAATATGAGATGGGAATAAAAACCGCTCACAAATTTCATGAAACTGCAAAAGTTTTGTTAGGAAATGGAAGTTTCGCAAGCTTAATCAAAAGAATGAAATATTATTTGCAGGATATACTTGTTCGAGCTCTAAAATTGATGAATTTCATCCACCTGAAATCAACCACCTCACAAATTGATGAAAGAAAATATTCTTTTCCAATGATTGGTGTGCGTGTGTGTGTGTTTTTGTTTAACATTTTCACTCTTCTCTGACCTCTGCTGGCTCACGCACTCAACCAGTGACGCAAATCACCCTCATACAGTTTTACTTCAACACCTCACAGTCTATTACAGATGTTCAAATATTTGCTCTTTTTAAATCAAAACATAATTAGACTGCCTTAAAATAGCAAGTTTAAATAAGTCTTTGTGTGTGTCCAGCACTATGTCAGAACTGTAATACTTGTGATTTTATTACTCAGTCCCACTGGGAGGAAGTCAGACTGACTCCTTGTCCTGTCTCTATTCTGATAGGTTGCGTACTTCATTTCCTGAGCCATTCTGAGATAGCATTCCTGCGTTTACCATGGTGACAAAGATAAGAGGGGCGAGGAATGAGTGAGAGCTTTATGTTTGCAGATGTTGTGTCATTAAGACAAGCCTGACAGCTGTATGTAATCAGAGACAGGTGGACCTGTCTTCCTGCCGCCTTACGTTTCTTTAAGGTAAAGATTCAATAAGACCTATTGGGTTCCTGCTTTGGGAATATTTGCATCAGAAAATCCCCATCATTCCACCCTCTTCTCTATGATAACCTAAGTGCACTAACAATAAAAGCCACATATGTTTCATGAAGGCACACATAAACAGAGGGTCTTATTTACAGATCTATTCTTTGCAAGCCATTGTTCATGGTTATTTGGGGTTGTGTGTGTGAGAGAGGGAGATCGAGAGATAGGTCAAATCAAACGGAGAGAAAAAAACAAAAACACATACCCTCCTTTAGAGGTAGCAGAGTAATAGCCACACTTAGCCTTCCGCTTCCCAGACTGACTAGGTGAGGGGTCGCTGTTTGTACCTTCAGTCCTTTTCCTGTGTCAATCAGGTCCAGTGGTGGACTCTAAAACAGAGCATTAGAGCGTTAGTTCTGACCTAAAAGAAAAGCTGAACAATTGGTCCACTAACCTTAGGAGAACCAAGGCTCTGATCTGACTCCGGTTCGAGAACACTGGCTGGGCAGTTTGACTGTGTATCCTGTACCACACAAGGAGAACAAAGTTATGATACGTTTTAAACATGCACATACTTTAAATGTAATCTTCAACGGCTTTGAAGACTTAAAGAGATGGTTCCCGAAAAAATTAAAATTTTGTCATCATTTACTGACCCCCATGCTGTTCATGTTCTTTCCACTGTTGAACACAAAATAAGATATTTTAAAGAATGATCGAAGAGTCGTGAGAGAACGACGCGAGGCTGGTGGCGTGATTGATAATGTCGTGACGCACTGGTCTCGTATCTCTCACGGAGGAGCGGAAGCATAAAGTATGAGCGACAACAGTGAAGATAGAGAGAGGACCAGGCCTGAACTTATTTTGTGTTTTATGTGACAGCAGTCATCCACGAGGGGCTGCTGTCTTTTACTTTCATTTTGAATTTTTTGGTTTATTTATTGAAGTCTTTTTAAATATTTGCCGGTTCCAGCCTCCTTCTTCCCACAACAACGAACTTAAACAGTTGACGGTAGCCATTGACTTCCTATTATATGGCAGTCAATGGGTTCTTTTAGCTGTCTGGTTACCAACATTCTTTAAAATATATGTTATGTTAAACAGAAGAAATAAATTTGGTACGACATGTTGGTGAGTAAATTATGACACAATTTTCGTTTTTGGGTGAACTATCCCTTTAAATCCCACCTCAGAGACTTTATTTGTTACACAAATACAAGTTTAAAAGTAAAAACACACTGTCAAGCTACAAAAAATGCATAAAAGTTTTATATTCCTTCTAAAACTGCAAATTGACCAAAAATACAGAAAAAAAAAATATATTAGTAAAATTTAAAATAACGTTTTTCTATTTGATGCTAAAGAAACGTGAAAAAATTAGTGAAAAGTCTGGTGGAAGGGAAATATTTTAAGTAAATAAGTAAAGTATTTAAGTAAATATTTTTATATTGTGCTTTTGTCTTTTTTTAGAGCTCAAAAGTGCCTAAAAAAACATTTAACTTTATATGGAGAAGAGCAACATGAACATTCTTTAAAAAGTTTGCGTTCATTAGAAGGAAGACTTGTCTATGATGTTCAGAGAATTATACTTAAATAATACTGCAAAATGCTGGTTTAGATCATGTGAAGTTTACATTAGCAAACAATTGCTGGTTATATTTCAGTTGTAGTTTAAACACTATTGAATGTATCCAGGTAAAGAAAAAGCTATTATATTTTAATGGCAGTCCAGTAACAAGATAGATAACACATAGACACTCACAAACAGCCCCTGAGGGCCATAAACATCAGAGTGAACACACTCACACACTCTAATCTAGCCGGCACACGTAACATAGGTTGGAATGTGTGTGAAAACAGTTCCAAAAGGGTAAAAAAGAGAGTGGGAGGAAAAGGCAGGAATTTTCCATGTCTACTATTTCCCATGAGTCACTGGGAGTGTTTGGCATACCATGCCACTGGATTTTTAGTGAGAAATGCCCTTGCCTTGGTGCTGACTGCTGACATGCAGTTGCAGTTACCATAGAGAGGAGGAGGGGCCCGCATTCAGTACATTGCAACTAACCCAACTCACCCAAACAGACACATAAACATGTATACAGATGCCCCAAAATGTACTCTTATAGACAATAGACACTTAATGTAATAATTTCTAAACAAAATATCAAAACTAAGGGGTTGCAGATGCCATACTAGACTGGAGAACGAACCTCAGTTTTCTGAGCCATTTTTCCAAATTAGTTACATTAAGATTTTTAGGATGTACTGTATGAAATAGTTTCCTTCATGTTTTACAATTTAAACCCTAGAAACATATTTTTGTGAAATAGTTTGCTTCAAAAGATTGTTTGTGCTCATTTTTTTAAAATAAAAATATATTTTGATATATTTTGCAATATATTTAAGTTTCTTAAGTGCCCACATAAACTTTTTTTGGTTTCTCCAGACCTGAAAACAGCCATTTTTATACCATACTTTAATGTGCTATTCCTACTCAGCATGAGAGGAATATTTGACCATTACCGCCTCATGCACGCTGTCCCATTTCCTCAGATACAAAAAAAAACGACTTCCTGAATGAGGTCACTGCTGTTCAAACACCCTAATATCCAATCCACACGCCAGGGTCCAATCAGATTGCACCTACAACCATGCTTCTATACTATTTCTGTTTATTATATTAGTAACATGTTAGCTGTATGCTACAGTTCTGCTAGTAAGTTTACACACCCCTTGAAGAATCTATAAGATTTATGATGGGGTTTTTTTTGTTAAAGTGGTCATAAAAATTCATTTTTTTTTTTTTTTTTATAAAACAGACATTTACATTTCCGTCAATAAAATATTTAACAAACAATCATGCAGGAATGAGAAATTTGTCAAACTTTTTGGCCTGCATATAGGTACACTATACTGTTCAAAGTTAGTGGTCGGTGAGATTTTTACATTGTTTTTAAAAGAAGTCTCTTATGCTTAACAACCTTTATTTATTTATTAAAAAACACAGCAAAAATGGTTATATTGTGAAATATTACAATTTAAAATAACAGTTTTCTGTCTCATATTTCAAAATGTTGTAACTTTCTAGTGTATCATCTTGATCCTCCAGAAATCATTTTGTGGAAACAAGATATTTTTTTCAGGATTCTTTGATGATTAGAAAGTTCAACAGTTTATTTGAAATACTGTAGAAGTTTTTAATGATTCCTTGCTGAATAAAAGTATTAATTTCTTTCACAGTATATAGTGAACGATAGTGTATAGGATTATTAATACTCTCTTGATTGAAAATAAACATGAAACATTACTGCCTTCACTGCATTCAAACTAAGGTTAAATCTCCGAAAAAGGTCAACTTTATGTTACTTAAGCCTTTGAAGAACTTTTAGACCCTAAGTTCACGTTTGGCCACATCTTGACAATAACATGACCCATTTTATAGCTCAACAACAACTGCACGTGAACAATAATCCTCTTCCTCAACTTTCTTTGCCCTCTTTTCCAGACAGGTAGACAGGCATGCTCCTGCAGGAATGTCCCAGTGTTTTGCTTTTGAGAACTATTTGGGTATATCACCCCGGGATGAAAATACCAGCATTCCTCTCTAGCACCTCTCCGTCCAATCAGCTCTTAGGATTATAGATGTGGGCAACTCTGGGGCGATAAGAGCAGGTTTGCTGTTTACACACAGGCGGATCTTTTGTTCGGTGACCCTGACTATGGCTTTAATCGTCAAGACCTCTTGATGCAGGTAAAATCTGCAATGTTCAGACATGTTCAGACATCCACAGCAAACAAAGAAGCCAGATCTTTCATAAAGACTACGGTGGGTTATTAACACGCAGGAAAGAAATCAAGAAAAGGGGGAGAGTGCTAATTTGAAAACAACATTTGCTTTATGAGCCACTGAGAGAGGATGAAAGATAAGACTGTGGAGAGAGAGACAGAAGTGTTACGAGAACATTGAGACGTCAGATCTATGATGAAGAAACAGAAGGAAAAGGTCACAATTTTACACAAAGGGCTTTTTGAATCCTTTTGCTTTACGCAAGGCCTGATGTGGGAGGACATTCCTGACAACTCCATCTGCTCAGCTGTAACGCACATGGGACGATCAAAGAAGGATCCCACATTTCATCTCACCCAGAGCTGCAGGACGGGTGGTGACAGCCACACACAAGTTTAGCATTTCGGCGGACGGGTGGGAGATTTAAAAAGGGAAACGGTCTGTCAACCTCCCCCTGTTTTCATTCCTTTCCCTCATCAGATCTAACAAGAACTCTGGCAGAAACATGGTGGCTTTCCAGGTCATTTCCAAATGCGTTTGACGTAGGCGGGTCTTGATTGTGATGGCTGGGTTCATCTTTTTGCCCTACATATAGGGGTAATGTTCAAAGTGGAATATAACTGTATACTGCCACTCTTAAAAATTCTTTGTTGACACTGATGGATCCTTTCGATTGCAAGGTTCTTATATTACTAAATTGTTCTTCACCCTATAATGAAAAAAATGCTTCCTTTAAGAGTTATTCACTGAAATGCGCTTTGGGAAACCCAAAATAGTTCTTCTATGGCAATTTAAAAATGTAGGCATTATAGCACATTCTTATAGCGTTATAGCATTACAAACGGATCCTTGATTCTGATTGGTTGGGCTACGTTCAAAGCCGTTGTAAATGACTCGACAAACCTGGCTGTGACCAATTTAATACTTTAATAGTTCAATTTACAAATTAAAGTTTATTTAATAAAATACAAATAAAAGAAAAAAAAATCATATTATTTTCAATTCATGCATGGTTAAGTTAAAAATAGAGCAATGGTATTTATAAACCTTAGCCCTATAGATATTTATCTGTGTAAGTTGCATTTAAGTGTATTTTCAGACATTATTACCTACTTTTAATAAGTTTTTGCATTTGCTTATATATTTAGGCATTATCAAAGACTACTTCATTGTCAATTTGGCCTTTTCTAATCATGGATCATGGAAACGGATTGTTGATTCTGGTTGGTTGGGCTACGTTCAAAGCTGTTGTAAATGACTCGACAAACTTGGCTGTGACCTCATTAAAATAAGTATTTGATTGTATTGACAAACCCTTTTTTAAAAGCAATAAGCCCTGTGAAACCGAGTGAATTTAGAACAGCTAAGGAGGTTTTAGGCACTCCTCTCAGTGCCGTGTCTAACAACTACCATTAGCTGTTCTAAATTCACTGTAAACCACGGCTTCTTGGGCCTTATTGCTATGATAAAAGTTTAAAACATGTTACATTACCACATGACCTCATCACATGTCGTCGAGGTCCAGTTATTATCTTGGAAATAAAAAAGTCAAGTAAGAGATGTTAAAAGATTGTGAATGCAGGCTTTGTGCTGGCTCTGAATTGATAGTGTCATGTTAAAGAGATGCCATGACATGCATTACCTTTTATCAGGGGTCATTATCTTTTGATTACAGTTTACACACTCGCATCATTAACAATTCAGCTCTCAACTCAAAGGTGACAAAGCAGCGCTGCTTATTTAGTCCAGTCTGTCACATCATGTGACAATGATCTCATTGTGCCTGGACCTCAGCTTAATATGGGATTCCCTTCATGGCATGCAGCTCATAAACCAAGGGTTGAAGCTTCCCCTGGACACACTCAATGATGCGAGATCTTTTCGGTAGACAAACCACTCTCTGTTCTGAGTTCCCTCTCTTTCTATAGTCTTTCACTGACTATCAGACCACTGAAAATCATTATGTTGCATAAGGAGGGTGATATTATAATGCTGTTATGTTTAAAAATAACAATAGTTAGCTATAAAGACTGTAATTACGGCAGCAATTTGGAACAGTTTGTAGCGGTAAAGGGCAAATGTGACTCAGATATTTTGCTTATTAATAAACGACTTGAGTCAGAATAATAATTCGCCTGCTCCATTACAATGCAAGATTTTTTTAAATTGCCTGAAAAAAACATATTAAGACCTTTTAAGTCATTAGTCCCAAATTCCAAAGTTAACAAATGAAATAGTGTGGAATGTTGTTTCAGCTGGATCTGGCTGATGGGATAAGAACCGTAGGATATCCACATTAGGCTGCAAAACCTTACGTAATATTATTTTAGCAGTATTCCTCTCAAGCTAAGATTTCTTTGAGGAAGCCATTACCATCATATAGAGCTTTTTACACGTAAAGCCACTTTAATAGTTCAGTTTACAAATTAAAGTTTATTTAATAAAATACAAATAAAATCATTTTATTTTCAATTCATGCAGTGGTTAAGTTAAAAATGGAGCATTGGTATTTAAAAACCTTAGCCCTTATATATTTAGATGTGTAAGTTGCATTTAAGAGTATTTCCTGACATAATTACTTAGGCCTACTTTTAATATGTTTTTGGATTTGCATATATTTAGATATAATCAAAGACTACTTCATTGTCAATTCAGCCTTTTCTAATCATGTCCAAAATTGTATGAGTAAAGCAATTGCCGTAAAAGCCACCAAGTTTTATACCATTTAGACGAAGTAAAAAATTGACAATTTAAAACTTTTAAACTGATTTTTTTTATGTCATAGGGTTAAAAAAAATATAGGTTCTTTATGGTTTCATAAAAACATGTTACATCCATGAGACATTTTCACAGTACAAAAGGTTTTTTAATTATTAAAATTCTCTTCGCAGACCTTATGCAGTTGTTTTTTTCTTGTCGCAACACATGCAATTACTGTCTTTGTAACATCTGCAACCTTATCAACAATGATTTCACACCTGTCCGCCACTGAAAGCTCTGTAAGTCAGCTGGATCACAGGTGAACACACCTGAGCCGATTGTAAAAGTGTTGAGTGACGGGTCCAGTGTTTTCACAACCATAGCATCTGGTTCACTAATAGCATCTGCATCCCTCTCCTCTACCTGCATGCTTAAATCTTTTCATCATCTCGAAGTGACTCATGAAATAATTGCTGCTCTTATGCATATAACTCATGTGCTGAGTGTCATAGACAATGTTTTTACAACCGTAACATCTGGCTTGAGGGTTCTATTGCTATTGTTTTTGCACAGTGAATAGGTCATTTAAGTCAAACAAACAAAACAATGCACAAAGACAACTATAAACCTTCAGTTGTTTGTTCGGTTCAATTTGATTGATTCTTTATTTTTTTTTTATTTTTTTATTTTTTTTGTCAGACACAATGAAATCCCACCTCATGGCACAAGTTCTTTACCTTTTTTCTTTCAGGTTGGTTTAAAACAAGGCTATCATTGTCTCTGATGTTTATATGATGCCAATCTCTCAGTTCAGAGTCATGATTCAGTGCCATATCAACTCATATCAAATGTGCCAAGAGTCAATCATAGAATAAGTTAAGACTGCAGCCAAAATAAACATTATCAGACGTACTTAGTAGTTTATTTAACCATTAGGCATCACCAAACATGTAGGCTGCTACTGAGTGATTCAGTTGGGACACTTAAAAATTCATTTGATATTTACATATTATTTATAGAGAAGACCAAGTCACAATACTGCTATCATTACCACCACAACAAGCAATTTTTCAGACAATTTTTTTTAAAGGTTAGAAATGAAAGTGATGAAATAGATCATAAGTGAACACATCTGCCAGGACAGCAGAGAGACTTTTTATTTTATTTTATTTTATTTACATTCATGATATGAAAATACACTGTAAAATGGTAACTCAAAGAGCTGTTTTTACTTAATTTAACACAAAAATAATTTAATTGCTATTATTGTATTTAGGTTGATTCAGCAATATTTTTTTAATTTAAATTATTATTGACTATATATGTCATTCATTATTATTATCATTATCACTGCCATAACAACAATCCATCACACATCACACATGTAGGCTATGAGATGTATAATATAGTTTAATCTTCCAATATTATAGGTAAATGTCCCTAAGGATCACCCTCATTATAGACAGAGACAGTGTGCACTTATATTTTGAGAAGGCTAAACAGACTTTTACTTCAAAGTTTATTTGTGTAAATGATAAAAAGTCTCACCATTGCCGAAACGACGTCTGTCATCTTGAATAGCAACTCCAAAGACACTTATTATTACTACTGAAGGTGCGAAGCGCTCTTCGCCAAATATCCTGCGCGCTCTCAATGACAGAAAGAAAAGCCTATTTAATATTTCCTTTTCTTTGAAACTCAAACTTTCTGCCGACAGTTGATGATAAAAATGAAAACAGCTGAATCAATCAGACCAAAATAATTAATTTCCAAAGCAGTCTTGTCGCACTTTGGGGACTGAAAGGCGCTGTCCTGTCGCTCTTGGCCAGCGGCGACTCCGCTGTGTTGTGGAATGCGCTTTGGAACAGCTGGAACTCGACCGTTCGCTGATGTGCGCGTGCGCATCGGAGCCCCCGGCGCGTGCAGATCAGCCAGCACTGACAGTGCACTGTTTGTTGACACAAAGGGTTAAAACATTCATCTGTCATGAAAAAAAGCAGCAGTTTGAAATTAACCAGAGATTATTGATAGAATACATTGCTTTGACTCATCAAAATAAGTTATTTTCAAATTTTTTCAAACGATTCAACTAGTTTAGGTTAGCCTTATTTAAGTTGAAATAACTTAAACATTTAAGTACAAGTTGATTGATTATGTTTTATGCTGCTAAACCTTCACATCACAGAAAACCTTTCTGCATTTTAAAAAAACACTGTTATATCAAGAAAGTGTGCTCATAAACCATGTTTACGTGATAATACCCAAGTCAGTATACACATTTTTGTCCTCATAGAGCACATTTCATGCAGCTTCCTCCGCTCACAATTATCTAAAAGTTAATTACAGCTGTCAACTCAAAATATCCACAGAAAAACTATTTGTTTAATTAACATACAGAGTCTACAATGCGTGTCATTCATTCTCACCCACCGTCGTTCACACCCAACATCCAATTTGTGATTAGAGGTCACATGTGGCTGAATTCCTCAGTAAACAGGATGATACACAATCTCATGCTTTTCTTATCTCAAAAACGAGACCAATGCCTTTTAATAAATAAATAAGTAAGCTCTCCATGTGAAGGTTGTCTGCAAGCTCTCTCTGTTTTATAAAACTCCAAATGCTGTTATTTTAAAATGAAGTGCTTGGAATCACCTGCTCTCTGCATATTTTCCTAAAACCCCATCAAAACAATCTGTCATTACTCTTTACAGTCCCCGAATGAGCTGGACAAACAGAGGGAATGGAGAACTGGAAGTGTTGCCCATGTAGCCTCGCTTCACCCTGGAGCCCAGGAGGACCCTCAAACAAAAAGGTAGAAGCTACGAGTGTTAAGTGAGATGGAGAAAACATTGCAGCATGTCCACTGTAGCAGTCGTTACCCATAAGGCCACAGTGGCGTGTAATTACACAGTAGTTAGCGTCCCTTTTTTTAAGTTACTGCATTCTGCCGACAAGAAGGAAAAAAACAACCCCTGACATTCTTTCATGATCTGGAATGAAATAATGAGGGAGTGAAGAAAGGGAGAGCCCAGAGTGTGAAACAAAGGATGGAGAGAAAGAATTTTGTTTGTCAAGGTCTTAAAAAGACCACTGGTGCACTCTTTCATGGAAGGAACAAAGAATCTCATAGTTTGGAAATGTAGCTGGCCAGGTCACCATGTCTTGAGCTCCTCAAAAATCTGGCATAATGTTTTTAAGGCTTGGATTTACATATCAAATCATTGATATAGAAGGGTCCAAAAGTCTGACCACTAAAATCCACATATTCAAAATCAAAGTTTTGGAACATTTAAAACAAAGAAATTCTTCAAATAAAGCTTCCAAATGGGGGGTTTCACCTTAGAAGAACCATTTTTGGTACCTCAAATATCCTTTCAGTGAACAGTTCTCCAAAAGGACCATTTTTCTTAATTTGAAGTATACACTCTTTAAAAAAAGATGGGCTGTTTCAACCCATACTTGGGTCAAATATGGACAAACCCAAATGTTGGGTTAAAAAAATTTATTAAAATTTCAAACCAACTTCAACTTTCACTTTCAACTGTAAAATTTTTAATTACATTTTTAAACTAACATTTGGGTTTGTCCCAAATTTGGGTTGAAACAACCCAGCATTTTTTAGAGAGTAATAATCTTAAGAACCTTTCCCCACTGCTGAACGTTTTATGGAATGGAATGTTTCCATGGATGTTCTTCAAGGTTCTTCAAGGAACCATAAAGAAACTTTGTTTTCAAGAGTGTATGACGTAAAATAACGATGAAATATGGAGTATTCTGCACTATTTCTAGGAAATTAAAAATTGATCCTGACTTCTTTGCACAGAAAGTCAGATGTTTTGCTTCAATAACCTCAATATGCTCTTTGGGTCATCTCAAATCATCCTGGATAAAATGATCATCAGATGTTTCTCAAACTTATGTGTTATTTCAGTTCAGAGACATTGAATGTAACTCTAACGTTTGTTGATAATATAATTTGTGATGAAATTACAAAATAAATGCATGGAAGTATTTGCACTTGTAGATGTTTGGACCATGGTGTGTCTTCTGATTCAAAACTGGACTGCATTTTTTTTTTTTCACGTAAAATTCATTATGAATATCCAAACTAAAAAAACTCTAGGGGAAACATTCCCTTTGTGATAACGGTGCCGGAAAAAAAACAGATTTTCAAGCCAAAGAGAATGAGAGCAGATGTGCTGATTAGATCTGTCTCCGCTTTCTTTCTCTCTTTCCTAAATACCTCCATGCTTTGAGCACATAATTGTTCCTTCATTGGATTCAAATGCTCTGTGTGGACTTGTTCACATGGTCCTGATCATTATCTGATGTCCTTCCCATCCCAGAGTCCACAGAAAACAGTCACTTGAATGTGGACATGGTCATAGGGAAGCGCAGGTGTGGAAGAACCTCTTGCGCTCTGCAGGGCGTTTTATGTGGAGCCGCTCACATCATTTCTGTGAATGCTGAATAATACATCAGATTATTATCCATCTCGGCAGTATTTGTTACAGTTAAAATTTCTGAGCATATCGAGGCAATTATAAAATAATTTTTTTTGTAGCAACAAAAATTTATTGAACTTCAACAAGAATTCAAAATTCATCATAGCCGTATTCATAGTGCCGAATTTCTGAGAAAATTGAGGCAGCAGAAAATACAAAACTTTGTTCTTCACCGGCTGTAAAAGATTGAGCATGGTCCACATCTTCCACTGTCTAAGTGCTGAGATACAGAACTTTCTTTTTCATGATACAACATAAAATTCAATGAGCCTGCTTATTCTCGCCCTGATATTGTGATATCATATATATACTTTTAAATGAAAGAATAAACATTTAATATTCATTAAAATGCATTCTTAAATATTAATCATAATTACACACATTTCTTTTCAATGCATTAAGTACGTAAACGTGCTGCGTTAAAATGATCAGACTAATGGCACTTAAAGCTCTGTTGAATAAAATATAAAAAACGGCCAGGTTAGAGCTATGTATTTGGTATCCATCCCATCTTGATATTGCAGTGACCTCCATGTGATCAAAGTTCTTCGTGGTCAGCACAACTTCAGTCTTTGCGGTGGTCAAAGAAAATGTCATGTGCCTGACCGATCTGGAAGGAGGAGGTTATTTAAACTAATGACAGTGCTTGCGAAGTCCACGAGTTCTACGAAGTCTGAAGTGATGATATTCACCCCATCTATGCCTGGCTTTTGGGCCCCCACCCATGTCATTATGGTTGGAAGGTTCCTGTGAGAGAAACAACAGAAGTGCATGTAAGAACAGACGGGTAGGAGTAATGCATATTCTAATAACATGCAGATCTTTAGTACTCAAACACAAATTAAGCCTGTATTTACACTCATTTTCCACTTTATCTCTTTAATGAAAGATGGTATTACACTACCTGTCAAAGGTTTGGAGTCAGGAAGATGTTTTTGTTGTTGTTGAAAAAATTAATACTGCATTTAATTAAAAGGTGAAAAAGATATTTATAAGATTACAATGTATTTCTCTTTCAAATAAATGCTGTTCTTTTGAAATTTCTTGCTCAAATAGCTAATTAATAAAAAAAAAATTCCACAAAGCAGCACGACTGTTTTTAACGATGATACAAATAAATACAAATGTTTTTTGAGCAACAAATCAGTAATTATGCAGAAAATGCAGCTTTGCCATCATAAATTATTTTAAATAGTAAAAATTTTTTCGCAACATTACCATTTTTACTGCATTTTTGATCAAATAAATTCGACCCTGGTGAGCATTAGATTCTTGCAAAACAGACTTCCAAGGTTGTATAGATTTGCATAAATACTACATGCAATGTTTAATGAACATGACAAAACCGCACTCGTCTACACACTGTAAAAAATATATATATTTTAAAGATTTGTTATTACAACATTTTTTCAATTGTCAAATCAATTTAAATAATTTATTCAGCTCAGATAACTTATTATTTTGAGTTTCTGATGATTAAATCAATCTCCTTCATTGTATTAACTCACTTTTTCCAGTTCAATCAACTTAAAATTTTAAGGCAACCAGGTTACTTCATTTTTTTAAGTTAAACCAACAATATTTTTTTTACAGTGAGGGAAATTGAATTAGTTTTAGCAATCATAGAGTTAGTTCTGTACTTCAGGTCAGCTCAGGCTAGAAATAAACTTCCCAAGCACCACAGCCATCTACAGCAGCAGCCAGGACAAAACCAGGAAATGGGAAGCTCAGGCTGTGTTTTTCCTGGAATAATAAACAATCCAACATCCACACTCAGGCAGAGTTAAACAGCTTCCTCCGAGACGGCTGTCTCAGGATGTCCGCTAAGACATATTAAGTCAGCAGCCTCTGACTCATTTAGGAAGTTCATGTAGGATATGTTCAAAATAGTATACAAAATGTAGTCTGAATACTGTATAATGTGCAAATATTAGGTATGCATTGCTCAAAAGGGGCCTTGGATGTTATTTTGAAGAGGGTCCCCCTTCAGCCTGGGTCCAATAAGTTGGCTGGGACCTTAGCGGACCCATCATACGCCTTATTCACGGCAGCGCCATCTTTGATTTTTAATGAGAATGAAAGCGAGGCTGTGAGGGATAGACTTGCATCTCTTCAATGGGCTGTACTGTTATTTAATGTGTTTTCGGATTGTTCTGCTCATGAAACACTGGAAAAATATCTTTCAAAGAAATGTCAGTTGACAAAAAACTCCCGACAATGTAAGCTGTGGAAAATTGTAAGTAATCTAGCCGCTTTATTCAACTTTTTACAGTCCATGGCATGCCATTGGAAACACGGTAAGTCTATCCCTCACAGCCTCACTTTCGTACCTGTCATGGCGCTGCTCTGAATAA